TCTTTTTTTTTTATTCGCGCTCGTTTCACATGTCCGAGGCTTTATAATATTTCGAAAAATAGGGGGAAAAAACAATTTTATTTTGACGCCACGCGATACGCTGGAAGAAGAGAAAGAGAGGAGGTTCGCGCCTCTGGGACGCCCCGTTTGCGTCGCGCTACTTTGCGATATGTTTCGGCCGACGTATGCGCGCGTAGTAATTTCCGTCGGTTCCGGCGGAGATCGCGAACTTTCCGAAAATTTCCGCGGATCGATCCCCCGCGACGACGGGACGCTTGCTTCGCTTTCCCGTCGGCCCCTGGCGAAACAACCGATCATTCACCGCAGCCGTTTTTCCCAAACGACGTCGCGGTAAATTCGAGGATCATTTAGACGCAACGTCGCGATTTTGATTTGTGGCCGGCCGAGCAACGGCGCCGGGCGTTTTGACACACGTTCGCGCGGCAGGAGCGGTACACGCCGGGATTTCGGGGGGTATCCCGGCGTCTCGACAGAAAGTCGATATGACGCCGCCGCCGAAAATTAATGAGCCAATCGTAGGTATGTAACTGGTATTCACGTTATCGTGGAATAATTAATGACCCGCCGGCTCTCTTCGAAACTTTCGCGCCCCTCGGAAGTCTCGCCCGTTCCCTACCTGTCGGCGACTGCATACGGATATTTCGCCAGGATGTTCCAATTTACGCGCGAGACGTCCGTCCGACCGGCTGTTGCTTTTCGAGCGACGACGCCCTTCTTCTCGCTTTCTCCGCGCGCGACGCTCGGCCGATCGTTTCTCCGACGACTAGCTTCGCGTCCGGCGATATTGAATGATTCATCTCCGTGGGTTGTTTAGCATAATAATTAACGTCATCAGTATGAATGACAATCATCGGTAATGCTAAATTAATTAGTCTGCATTATTGTCCCGAAACGATGCGCTCTGACGGATTAACTAAATCTCGTTTCTATCTCTGACAATGAATGCGCTTTGGCCGCGCGCGTGTACGCATGATAAATAATGTTTCCGACGTTATGTCCGTATCAATTAAGTTGCCGTTATGTATTAGTCGAAAGAGAGAATACTCATGAGCGGTTCCGGTGATTGGTTCGTTCACGTTTGCTCGCGCTGACAAAGTATCTCGATCATCGCAATACCGCGGTGGTCTGTGCAATTTACGTCGAAGTGACCAGGTTAACCGGAAGTGTCGTTGATCACACGGAGAAAAATAATCTTGCAGCGGGAGCATCGTACCGCGTGTTCGTTGCGACCATATTTAGATGGCATAACCAAATTAGCGAATTATTCGTAATTAGAGCGGAAGTTTCGTTGCCAGGGTAGAAAATATTCTGCCGAGCGTATCTGCCCTTAGGACACGTTAATTCGCTGTTAGAAGACAGTGTTTCCCTATATTCACTAATTCGTTCTTACGGTAGATTTAGCAAAATAATGCATAATAAATGGTAAGACGGAGATCAGCTGCAGTTAAATTAGTTGTAACACGTAGATATGAAAAATTGTCATTGCCGCAGCGGCAGCAATTAAAGTTGCTTACGCTGCTAAAGTTTTACGTACCTCTATGTTACGGCTAATTCAGCTGCTGAAAGCTAATCTTTCTTTCCGTGAATTAGCACACAGTTGCCGGCAAGATTTCGTGCTGCGACAGCACAAAATTTTTCCCGCCGGCAGATGATTTTTCGCCGCGGTAAGACACATTTCACTTCGGAGTGTCTGCGAAGTAGGTTAGAAAACTGCACGTATTGTTAGATTAAAAAGAGAGCCGTGGCCGAAAATCCGACGGACGTTCGCTGATATTTCAAAGCCGGAAGCACGCGGTTCTTCTTACGGTTCGTTCGACGAACGCGCAATCAACGGTACGACTTGATTGGTTTCTTCGCGCGGAATAGCATCCGGGTTTGAAAAAAGCGGGTCTCGAAGCACGGTCGAGGAATAAGTAACTCGTGGAAGATGCGGCCGGAAGAGACGTGGGGAACTCGCGAGTACGTCGGCGATAATTCCGCAGGTCCGGGGGGGCCATCGATATTCGAGCCGCGTCTTCGGCGGCCACAAATATCGACAGGCACGGAGATAACGCGAGCACACCTACTCCATTGTTCTTTGCGCCGCGAGAGCCTCTAATTACGGTGCCGGTTCGCTCGGGTTCGTTCTCGGCGTACCGCTTGATTTGCGTGGCCCACGAACCGACGGCGTTACGTTAATTACACGCGGACAGGTACACGGTTTTGCCGGACACGTCAATGCTTCATTAAGCCGTACCCCCGGTGCCCGAGCGCGCGTATTCCGATGTGGAAGTTTCGACGGTGGCGATTAACGCCCACCGCACGGAACGCAACTTGCCGAACTAACACGTCCCGTCGCCGCGAAAATATGTATACTTCGCTCGCGCAAGTCTCTTCCTCCGTGTATTCGAGGTCTGGGAGAAAACCGCCGGGGGTTTTACCGCTTTCGCCTTCCCCCGACCTCTATCGATGATATCCGGTGGTCGAGGCTAAATTCGGAGAACATCCTTCCTTATAACTGGTAATTTGTATCGAGAATGTCACTTTCGTCTTGTGCCGAAAGAAAAAAGTGCTGCGTTCAAGTGAATACTTGCTAAGGTATATCGGAGTAATGATTTTGCTCGTATCGAGCAAATCGTATTTTTCCTTCAGCGCTTCTTCTCCGTGCGAACGTTTTGTCTCATCCTGTAGAGAGAAGCGATTGACGAACATTCCGTGAGTATGAAAAGATAGAAAAAATCCCAGAGCACCTCTTTCTCCACACATATTTTCCGCAATTGACTCGGCCGATCTTACGACCGCGGCGATATCGCGCCACGCCGTTACCGTAAATCTAACGAAACGGCGGAAGCGCAGCTCGTCGCACGTCGCCCGCAGTCGGGGGAACAACGAGTTAACGCCAGCGTGCTCGCCCGACGATCTATTTCCGCGTTCGCGTAGAATTGATATTTCTGAATTACAGCCGGTGCGAGAGAGAAGCTCGTGCTGTGTTCACGTCGGGTCGTTTACCGGCAGCGAAACCTACCACCGCCGTAGATTTTACGGCGGACGCGCCATGCACGCACGTTCGCTCGCTCACCAGCCGCGCGTTCACGCAGGTAACCACGAACGAGCATTCATTGACCTGCGGTCGAAAGTGCACCACACGCTTCCGCTTCCGCGCTACGTTCGTCCCCTCCCGATACACAACAACCGTGGATCACCCTCGCGGAAACAAAAGAGCGAAGAGTTCCCTGTGAGGTAACGTCGCTTAATTAAATTTCCCCTCCCTCCCGTCTGTCGACGAGGCGAGTCATAAATGGGATTGTAATCTATTCCGAATGAGAGCGAGGCAAGCCGGGCTCACTCAATCCGGACTGCGACGACGGGCAGCGCAGTCGCACTTTCCGCCGGCGATTCCGCGTCAGGAATTTAACGTCTCACCCCCCTCTCGTCCCCCCTTCTTGCCCGTTTCATTCTGAGAGATGAGTCATTTTGCAAGGAGAAACCTCAAGACGCGAGGGAAAAGAAAACGGTGAATTTCGTCCGGACGGTCCAAGAGAACGGTCCTGAAGATCGTTCAATCCTCGGAGTAACAGCCCGCAATCTTGACGTTGAATTAACATCATAGGTCTTGAAGACCATCTCTGTTATTATTAATGTTCCGAGTTGAAATTTTAATATTACATTAAGTCTTCGAGTACTATTTTGACGTGCTACAAAGGGGAATTTGGATCTCCCGGGGGGAATTTTAAATTCTACATTATTATGCTTATCGGGAAGCTCTCGGGAATTAGCAACATTATTATCAAACATGTTTCGCGAGGTATTAATTACGCAAAAAAAAAAAACGTGTTTGGCGCCGCGATGAGTTTTTCCGGGAAACCCCTTGACGTTTGGAGGATCATCGCCTCATTTCCGCCGATAGAAATTGCCCGAGAAATTACGCGAGAGGATAAAAACGGTATGACACGACAGCATGCCGTACACGAGGAGAAGCGAATACCGCGCGGTCTCCCCCGAGAATCCGCGTCCCGGAGTTAACGCGCGCCAACGGGCTTGTGCGCATTTATGAGGACGGCGCGAAGTACGCGGATGCAGCTACGCATCCGCCGGAATGGGCATTGCATGCACATTCGCGGCGTGCTCGGCGAATGAGCCCGTTCGGGAGATGGACGAGCGAGACGGCGGTGGAAGAGGGCGAATAAGGACGATACTGAGGTTCAGCCGGGAAGGATGGGGTAGGACTTGCGGTGGCCTCCATACTGCCCGCCTCCCGTGACCTCTTTGTCCGGCCGCTAACGGTCTTTGTACGAATCGTGTTTTCGGGTCAGCCTAGAATTCGCCGCTGAATTGTTGGGGCTCGCCGAGTTTCGGTGGCCGCGCCGCCACCGCGAAACCGACGCCCGCGAAAACCAGCGATTTCGGTGACGCCGTTTCCCCCCTCTTCGCTTGTTTCGCGCTTGGGACGATCGAGTTTTAGGGTAGTTGCTCCGTCCAAACTGTTTTCTACCGGTTCTTTCGAATTGTCGCTGTGTATGGAAATGCTCGTCTGTAAAGTTAGGAAACGATCGGCCATTCGAGATATCTTCGTGATTGAAGATGAACATTTTTTACACGCGACCTTTCAGTCTTTAATATCCTAGTTTTGATCTTCCACTTTTCATTTCTTCTAAACCGCATTTAGAATTTTAATAAAAACTATGATGTTGAATGACTAATATAGAAATATTGTACAAAAGTTGCAGGATTTTTAACCAGTCGTTTCTTTTGAAGATATAGCTGTAGAAAATTGTTTTAAATTTATAATAACGCTCGCGATATACCTTCGCTAAGTGTTTTACTTTTTATATTGTAGTTACTTTAGTTTAGGTCAATGTGAAGAAAAAAAAATCTCCCATGAACCACGTGAAATTTTGAGTTATTAATGATTGAAAAGGTAACTATTGAGGCAACCGATTGACCGGGCGGAGAAACCTCCTGCAGGAATCTTTCTATTCTTACAACAATCGAGTTCCTCCCAGTCTGGTCCTCTCGAGGGCGACGGAAAACATTCACCAACGACATTGCTTTTCCCGTCTGCAATACCGAGCTCCGAGCTATAATCGACGACGGAAGAAAACGTGGCCAAAGCCGTGCGTGAAATTAACAGTCGCACCGTTGAAAAGCATGACGCGGGGCTTGTAATTGCACTCAACTCTGGTCGGTTATTTATGGAAGTTATCTTAAATATTACGCGGCCGATACCGCGGATTCATCGGCGCGTTTATGCGCTCGATATGTCTTTTACGAGCCGCGCTTTAATTTAAAAGCCGAGGCACACCACGCCTACCTCAGGCAGAACCTGGTGGAAATCCCGGCTGATCACACCAGCACCTCCGTCATGGCGCCTCAACTGAGAACGATTCTCCTGCTGCTGACGGCGGTCCAACTGAGCTGCGGGCCTTCCTTGGCTCAGAAATACTTTCCACCGCGTCAGCCACCGGCGTGGCTCTACACGAACGCCCCGACTGTTAATGTGAGATCGATGAGTCCGGTCGACGAGGATCAACGAATTCTGCCGGACCTACCGCAGGAACGACGAATGGACGCAGACTTCGAGGAGGATGCGCCGGAGTACAGAGCAGCTTCCCCCGGGCCGCCGCACGTGTTCAACGGACAGTCGAAGCAACCGATAGCTGACAGATTTTTCCATGACGACTTGCAAAGATGGTTTTGGAATACCGGCTTGCCGTCATTCAAGATCGGTGGAGAGGCGAAACTTACGATGTCCAATCACCCCTTCGGCTCGTCCGAGGAAGACGCGGACGCTCATCGTCCCTCGACTGTACGTTACAAACAGTGGTACACACCATTTTACCTCGAAGATTCGACGGCGGAGCAGCCGTTCGAATCTTTTTCCTCAAGTTACATTTCGGACAGGCGAAGCGTCCCTCCGCCAGTTAATAAGTGTCCCCCAGGAATGCGGCTCATACGCAATCATTGTGAAACCATGTTTCGAAGATATGAAAACGAGATGCAAGAAAGGATGTATGACAGCGAAGACGAAGAAGACGAAGAATTCATGCGTAATTTTCCGAACGAGCGAAGCATGGATGTGTTAAGGTGTCCCCATGGAACGTCAGCGAACGGTAAGTGTGAGTCGACCAACACCGTCGATTATGAAAACAACAAGATGAAGGAAGAGAAGTTTACGCGCGACCTCGAAGCCATTAACCCCAACTGGAGGAAGAACCAGAGAGCCCTGAAAATTATAAAAATCAACAAATGTCCACGTGGACAAATAATGTGGTTTGGTCGCTGTAGACGGTCGCATAGTTTATTAGCCGATTACATCTTACAGCGGGGTTGATGTATTAATGCAGTAACAGAGATATCATTTCTTGCCATCAAGTTTTAACCTGGCCCCTGCTTACTTGCAGGAGTCTTTTTGTCATGTAATATTGTATAATACAAGATGAAGTAAAATAAGACTAATAATAACTTATCGACGGAACAAAAGTGCGCACAATAAATGTCATTTTTAACGTTTACATTTGTAACTCGTCAATTTAATAATTAATTATACTCACTGAAAACTTCGTTTAGTTGACTCAAACAAAATTTGGTTAGAAATTTAGTTAGAAATTTGACTGGAATATGTTTAAACAAATGCTTTGGTTGCGATGTATTAAGCACGCGAAATCGCTGTTAGAGTAATGCTTTGCGAAGGAAAGGATTGTATTGTATATGGAGGGAGATAATTTTGCCGTCGTGATGAAACCATTGTTGCTACTGCATATTCGTCTCTCGACATTGACGAAATTCAATTGGCACAGCCGAGTCAGCGAATTTATTCGTAATTTGGGTAGAAATAGTTGTTAGATCTTATTTGTCGCCGGGATAGAAAAAGTTTTGCTGAGCGATCTTGTCCTTCGAACATATTATTTTGCTGTCGAAACGAAATAATAATTTTCCTACATTCATTCATTTGTTCTTACGGCAGTTTGTAGATTCAGCAAAATATATTTAGCGAGCGGCAATTAATATTCTTAACAAATCGTTTCGTCGTTCAGTAACTGAAAGATTTTGCTGTGACCAGAATAGAATTTGTGCTGTGCCGGCACAAATTATTTTTCTCCGTGCACGGGAAAAACAATTCCATTGGTTTAACTGAATTTGCCTGGGGACCGGACGAAAACTCGGTTGTAGTAGCAGAAAGATTCTTGCAGAAGATCTTTACTCGGTCAATTCGACCTCAGTTTTCTCAACCGAGTTTTAATGCAGCTGCGATGTTCACGCGACTGTTCTCAGAAACGCAGTAACGGAGATATTTCTTGCCATCAAGTTTTAACCTGGCCCCTGCTTACTTGCAGTGTAATATTGTATAATACAAGATGAAGTAAAATAAAGCTAATAATAACTTATCGGCGGAACAAAAATGCGCACAATAAATGTCATTGTTAATGCTTACATCTGTGACTCGTCAATTTAATAATTAATTATACTCCTAATACACTCCATTGAGTTGACTGAAACAAAATTTGGTTAGAAATTTAGTTCGAAATTGTACTACTAGAATATGTTCGAACAAATGGTTTGGTTGCGAGAATCAAAATTTGATCTTCTGAATCAAATATTTCGATCAATGAAAAAGGTTTGGTTTCAAAGAACTAAACCTTTGGTTCGAAGAACCAAATTTTGGTTCTCACAGCCAAAAGATTTGCTTGAGCGTAACCAAGCTTTGTTTGAGTCAAATGGATTATTTTTTCAATGTATATACCATCCTCTCTTATCTGGGAAAATCGTGTGAAAAACACACCTGGACGTTAATAATCTATATATAAATGATAATAATTCGTTAATGTGAAAGGTGTTATATTATTATTAATATTATTTAACGATCGGTTTTTTGAATAATGAATTATTACGATTACTTCACGTAATTATATATTGTTATCATATTTTATTATTGAGCGTAAAGATCCGATTACCTGTGTTAAACTGCTACGATTATCGCACATTTACGCGACGCTCCACGCATGACAGGTGCTCAATACGAAGTATCGCGCGGGGATTAACTCGCGCCCATCGGCGTATCCGAGCGTACACGCCGTTCCGCAAATTGCTCCGCGAAACACGTCTTTCGCGCCATTACAGGATTTACAGGTGAATTATAGAGGCAGGTTTCCACGGGGAGAGCGACCCGACGAGAGCCGACGATATCCGCGGACTAAACTGCCGAAAGGCGTCTTTATTGCATGAACCGGAAGCGCGAGAATCGTGATCCTGCTATAGGATTATTGCAGGACGACGTGCCACGGCTCGGTGATTGTCGTTAGACGCTGCAGGAAGTTTATAAAAACGAGCTCTCCTCCGTAGAGTCGCTCGATTGAACTCTCACTTGCTCGACTTCCACGGATCCTTTTCTTTCCGATCTTATTCTCTCGCCGGCGGAACTTCCTGCCGCATCCTCCCGCGCGAGTGAACCCTCTTGTCCGGATAAACAACACGTGTAATACACTTCCCTGATCTTATTACGCGGACACGCTTTATACCGCGCAGGAAAGGGAAAAGGCAGAGGAAGGGAGATACGGTAGCTTTAGGAATGATTAAATTAAGCTGATGTCAGGATCGGGATGACCTTTCTACCAACTGTGACTTGCGCTTTTCCATTGAATCAGTTAATTTGATAAAATGTATGAAATGAACTATGAATTATTATTATTATTTATTTTACAGGATCCTAATTAGGATTTTAGGAATCTTTGAGTATCTCTGTAATTCGTCGACTGTAATTCGTTGAGCGTACATAGAAGAAGAATGTATCGGTAGAATCGGCCAACAACGCGGTAATTCGAGTAAATCTAGATGAACATTTCGTTAGAATATATTTCGTGTGACACTTACAACGTGCGCCTTTCTTCCTGAGGACTCGGATTAAAACAATATCTTTCTCTCGATTGCCCCCTTACCCCGAGTATCTCTTTTCGCACGAATAATTTTGATGTTCCCCCCTCGTTCAAGCAGATACCACGATGGACGCCGAGGCAGCGTTGCTGGAAAACTCGCCAACCTTGTCGACGATCTCGTCGGATTCCACAGACGCGTCGTATTCGGAGCCGGGCTCGCCCTATTCCCCGGAGTCGCCGATCATTGTCACGTCCTCCTATAAAAAAAAGCGCGACGATGAGGTCACACCCAGACCAACGCCCAGACACCCACTGCCAGCCAGGAAGCCGAGCTTCCGGATACGACCGCCCTACCTCATGATCTGCATCAGCATCATCGAGGTGAGCGAACGTAAAAAGCAGTTACACAATCAGGTGAGATTACTCATTGCACCGATGTGCACGCGTAATGCGTTCCATCTTCTCTTTCCTTGCAATAATATCTTCCGACAAAAGTAACCAACAATGATTTGATAATTACAAAAAAGGACAGTTATTAACAAATCCAAAAAATAGACAATGAATCCAAAAAAAGTAGACCATCATGAACACACCCGTTTTAAATAGCATATTATTCAATATTATTACCTGAATATTGCTTTTAAAAAGTTGACTGACTAGTTTATTTTCAACGGAAAAACACGCATTTTTTTTTATTTTTCAAATTCGTTTTTGTCTGATGGAAAGATCCGGGATGTCCCAATATTTTTGAAAAATGCGAATACTGTTGTGAACCGTATAAAATACCATAAACCTTTTAAAACTTTATAAAACATTCTTTTATATATCTCACATTTTCAAAAATATTCGCTAAAATTGAAAAAAATTCGTTACTTTTGAAGGGTTGTTTCAATCCCGAAACATTGAAATATCCCTCCATATAAAAAAAAAATATAGGTCTAGTATTTTTTTATGTTTTATAATATATCCAAAACCCATCGAAATCAATGAAGGACAGTTCTGCCTGTTCCCTTGTTTCAGATCTAAGTTTAAAATAAATTTCGAATTATATATATCCTGTAACTTTCTTTTCTTCCTTAAAATCCAAATTTTGCTCTTCATTGACTTTCACTATAAAGTCATTGTTTTTAATCTCTTCACTTTTGACAACTAAATCGCTCCCATGCCTGCAGCTTTGCAGCAAATATTTCGCACTGACAGTACTGAAATCGTGGAAGAGAGAGAACGATTAAGTTAAAGAAATAGTTGGGACAGGTCGGTTCCGTCGCGATATCAAATTTCCTCGGATCTTTAATCGGCAGCTTTGCAACAGCAATTTGCTCGTCTCAACCAGTTTTAACGATTGTCTCATGCCTTTTTTTATTCCGCATTGTTTCGCGCACATTCTCTCTCTCTTTTTCCCCCTTCTCATCTGCTTCCTCTACCTCTCGCGACGTCGTTACATCCGTATTTCTATTACGCTCGAACAAGTGCTATTCTAGCGGGGATGAAACCTTCTCATCGCGGAACGCGGAATATATACCGCGAACATTCTGGCGGTCGCAAGTCGAGTGGAAAAGAATGGCTGAAAACGCCGCGTAAGCTCCGGGATTTCTCATTAACAGAACCAACGTGTCGTGGTTCTTTCTCTCTCTCTTTCTGGTGCCGTGGCAAGAACGAAAGGAAAACGCGATGGAAATCCTTCCCAATTATACGCGCGAATTCGCTGGAGAATACACCAGAACGATATTCCGAGATACCTCGGGCCGGTGAAAACTCCGAAAAAAAGCGGAAGCCCGGCAGAGAGGATGGACGGGACCGGGGGTAGCAGAGGGAGGAAAGTGAAGGCGCGCTTTTTCGCTCGATAATAATCCCGGGAACGCGGGTGCCGCGTTTTCAGTCGGAAAAGTCACGAGAATAAACAGCGACGGATACGCGCAATAAAAATGCGCAAGTTTAAAGTCGCGAAGTTGGGCCGCAATTTCTTACTCGTTTACCGCGGAACACGACGAAAGTTAATCACTTAGCCCCCGCGTTTTCTTCGGAGCGTGTACGGGCGAAACGAGATCAAAGTGAATGCCCACCGCAGATGTTTAACGGTTTCGAGCTCAATTTGCGAAATGCGATCAAAGGCGTACGAAATAGCTAAGTGTATGAAAATATTAAGTACCGGGGTGCATATTGCTCGGATATATTCGTGTAATCCATAAAACGGGGGAGTTTGCGGAGTCTCGAAGTTTATTATGCTTCGCGTCGCAAGAGTCATCTTGAAGTTTCGCTATTGCCGCCGAGGCAATCTTGATTATTTTTACCGCGCTTATCTTCGTGAGTTATTTGTTTAGTCTAGATTCAAATATAACCCTGTTAACCGTGTATATTAAATTATGTTACCCGTGAGAGACGCCGAGAGAATCTTATATTATATTGTCCGTGAGACGTTGAATCGCGTTGCGAGAGATTTATGTCCCGTTCTAATATATAATAATTTGCGATAAATATATCACGTAACGTGCGGCTCCTTGCGGTAGCGTGATAGTCACCGGTAATTCACAAGGGGTCGATTTCGCCGTGTGGAAAATAATCATTTTCGGAACTCCCCTATCCGGGAAGAGATGCACGAGGTGTCTATCTATATGACAGATATCCGGCCAAGACATAAGAGAAAATACTGATATGTTACGATGTGACATGTAAAAAAGAAAAGTTCAAAATTAATTCGGATAAATGAAATCGTGTCTTGGCAGACTAGATTTTCGCATACGTATATATATAGTCAAATATATTTAAAGCATCAAGTAATTTCCGGTTAAATGACGATGCAAAATGGTAGAGCCAAATGAAAAGCGTGCGATGAAAAGCAGCGGGAAGAGAGAGAGAGCGAGCGCGCATTAACGCGCTCTTAACCTTAATGAAACGCTCAAAAAGTAGCGTTGCGGTACTCGAAAAAGTTGATTTCACCCGGGCTCGAATATAATAATGTCCGAAGCCGGGCACTTTATCTCCGGGAAATTACCCGCGAACGAAGGAACACGCGCTAAAGTGTATAAACCCTAAAGCCGCGGAATTAAAGGCGCCACGGCCGCAGTCCGTGAATTTCAACTTTATCGCGGCGGTATTGTCTGGTGAAAACTCGTTGTTGCGAGTGGGAGATAATGCGTGATTTACGGGACAACGTGTATAAACACATGCCTGAGAATGCAGGCATATACTGCCTCGCATTAAGGATGGAGAGCATCGGCGGCGTTCGCGCGTTTAGAAAGAAACGAGCCGTGATATTTACCGCCCCGGTACGAATCGCTCCTCGAAATTCAAGGAATATCCGACGGGAAATGCGCCGGAATGTATAAAAGAGCAAGCTCGCGGGCATACGATTCCTGGCGACGCAACCTGCAAAATTAAACGTTGTACGAATAAGGGACCGAATCCTGCACGGTAAAAAAGATTTTGTTGAAACGGCCCACTGAAATTTCATCCTACTTTAATATGGGGAAAATCTGGTAAAAAGGGCACAAATATAACGTTAAATTCACACATTCACATTCTTGTCATCATTATTTGTGTACTATTTGATGTATATATGTACGTCCGATTCGACCGATAGAAGTATTTATAGTTTTGCGAGGAATTTTTTTCGGCGCTTTGCGTTTGCCACGCTTTGCTAGCGTTTCAGTTTGTCGACTTTCGCGCCAAGAAGGCTCCGAGGATAATTACGCGCGATGAAGTTACAGCGGCGAAACGTGGGTTTCATATACATGGTTCCATAACGACGCGGCGGAGAGTTAATTCGCGCTTCAAATGCATAAACTTAAAACTACAAAGTTAAATGCATTCCTAATTCGCGGAAGAACCGGCGAACTCCGCGTGTCTGTCCTTAAACGCGACGAGGGCCGAGCAACGTCGAGGGGGAACGACGGCGGAATGGAAAAGCCGAAGGGGAGAGGGTGCGCAACCACCTGGAAGTGAGAAGCGGAATGAGGTGTAGAGGGTGGATTCCACCGCCGAAACGTTCCCCCGACTGCCGGAAATAGACGTTTTGCGCCGCGAATAACGCTCTAGTACCGACACGTCGCTACGAATGTGGCCCGGACAATGCCGGACTCTCGTGCCCGGAAAAGAGGAAGAAAGGCTCGGCGGGGATGCTCTTCTTCGAAAAGGGAGGCACAAAAGAACGATGCGATACGCGAAACACGAAATATGAAAGTTTCTCCAAGAGCCGAATTAATATTTCTTCGAGTAGCGAATATTTCGCATGCACCGAACTCAACCGAAAATCGGGGTTCCGCCTTTTTAAGACGCGATGTTTAAGGCCGGTCGTTCCGTCTTCCGAAATTCTAAATTTATCTAATAAATGCAGAACGCTCCCATACGGAAGTGAATTACAAGAATACGAAAAAATTACTGATATTTTATCGCTCTTCGACAATGTTCTTCAATAGTATACCAACAATTTTTTCGCATTCCTGTGCTTTACTTCCGTGTGGGAACGTTTTTAAATATTTGTCCGTTAAATAAATTTATCCGAAGGTAGAACAACCGGCCCATAAACGTTGTTTCTTCAGTCGTCTCTTAACGAAGAACGATGGGGATGGTAGTCGGGTCGAACGTGTTTCCGCGATTTCTCGTATTCGACGTGACGCCATATGAAACAAAGTTTCCCCTCGAACGTTTAACTTGACTTTAGCTTTATCTCTCGTCTCTGCGGAAAGTATCGAGATTCAACCCCGCGTGTCCCGCCACTTTACTGCACTCGGGGTAGACAATAGCCGAAGCTCGTAAACGAAGCTCTGTGGTTTGTGTACCACCTTCCGTCTGGCGTAGCGATCATTCGGAACACATCGAATGGCGAATCCAATCTTAGCCGAACTTTTCGGCTAACCCATTGATATTTGCGTCTTTTAATACCGCGATAGCTCCAAATTGTCGAGACAGTAACAGTGGTACTCAAAAGAGGTTATTTTTTTCCTTCCTCAGCGCGCAAGCTCTTCGTTTTTATACAGATGCCACGCTGGAAAATACGATTTTGTATTTTCCCAGATTTTTCGGATGTTTCAATTAAATATTTTTATTTGTGTAACATATATACAATTTTTTTATTTTTATTACGTACACCAAGAAAAAGATTCCCTTCGATTTAATCAAATTTCTTCAATCGAAACAAATCTGTCTTTTACAGAATAGAGCAGACAAACGAATGTTTGGTTCAACAAACAGGATTTGCTTTCTCAAGCAATAAATATCTTTACGTCAAATAACATATTTCTTTTGTATTTTCGCCCAAATATTACGATAGTTGCGACAGGCAATTATTTGAAAGGACACACTGAAGGAGAACATTATGTTAGAAAAATATTCAAGAACTTCTATTTGGTTTCAGTGGAAAAATATTTGATATATGAGGAGATAAATTCCTTTTTATTGAAAACGAAATATTATTTCCTCTAAATAATACAGTTTTTCTTTCCTATCAAACAACATTTTCATTCCAACAAAATGATGCTTGATATTCAATTATTTTTCGTTTATATTAAACAAGTCCAAATCAAACAAATATGTACTAAATTCAAGAAAATCTCTTCTGTATAGAGATACATTATATCGATTGATTTTTGATCCTGTTCGCACATTTCTTTGCAAATTATCCGCTACAAGAGCGATATCGTATCTCTCGATGTCGGGTGAACTTGTTCGCCTTGTCGCAACTGTTACAACATGACGAGAGAGAGGGGGAGGGAGGGAGGGAGGATACTAGCCAAATTTCTTCCCGCAATATTTCGGCATGCCGCGAATATCGATATTGCACCCGCGCTATCGCGAACATCACCACGATATTACGTTCTTTCCTCGCGCCTTAGGAAAATGAAATTCCTGTGTTGTGCAGGATGCGCGCGAGGGTCTCCATAATTACGAACTCCGACCGTAGTTCCGAGTTCGTCGTGCGCGCGCGCGCGCACACACACCAATTATGGACGACTGCAAATATTTGCTTAGAATTCAGAATTAGAACACCGCATGGGACGAAATCACTGACTGTGATCGCGCGTCAGGGCTGACACATGGCGCGCCTGACAATAAACATCTGCATATTGTTTCACCCTCGCTCGAATAATCCTCCTTCGTTATCACTCGTGAAGTCGAGCCGAACGAACCTTCAGGCAATCGAGGGGAACAGGGTGGCGCGGGTGACAGCTCATCGAGCAAAATGAACGGTCAAAATTTCCTCGCGTCGTTTCCTCGCGTTGACAAAAATTGAATTTTATAGGCGGTACGTGAATGAAATACTTCGTCGCGTTTTTTCGTCCCTAAAAAAAAAAAGAAAAAGAGATCAAGCGAATGCTGAAACAAATTGTCACGCGAACGGCACGTGTCAATGTGAAGATAGTATTATTATTTGAATTATTAAATAATTAAAATTATTAGTTGAATTAACGTTATTATTGCAATTAAACTGAAAGTATTGTTATTGAATTGTTATTAAATTATAAATATTCTTATTGAATTTAATTATCATTATTATTTGAATAATTAAACAATTAAAAATTTGTGTGTATTATTGCAACGATTACATTGTTGGAATAATGGCTACGATTTATCATGGTGTGTGTTATTCAGACAATTCAAATTGTGCGAATTATTATTATTATTCCCTAAATTCATACACTTGCGCATCATCGTCGATCACGATGAGGAAATAAATCGCGCCGCGTGATTGACAACATCGCGTCGATGCGTCGTTGAACTTGGCCGCGCGATCGGGCGATAAAGTGGTCAGTCTTCCGCTGTCGCGGACACGTTGTCGAATTAAAATATCATCGCGTGATGAGAGAGCGCCGGTGGGAACGTGATGAGGACAATCGGCCGCGATGGGCAAACGAGCGTCGAGTTTTAAGCGCCCATCGGACGCACGCTACCTGTCCAAGGCGGCCGGCATGAAAGCGCATTAAGCACGAACGATGCCGAAACCTAGACGGGATCATAAAAACCAGGACGTCGGGATGGATAGCCAGGGGAGGTATCAGAAAGAGCGGCGCACCTGCTGACACGTGTGATTTACCGGCGAGAGTGTCTGGACGCATGCGCCTCGTTCCGAAGTGCGGGAGAAAAACGAACGAGGAGGAAAGAAAAGAGAAATGAAAAAAATAGGGAGCGACAATCGTTAGGATATTATTTTTTAGACCATCGCGCGCGCACCACGCGCACATTCGGCCGTGCTTTATTACGGTTACGATAAATTCTGAGTGTAATCGAATGAGCAAGTTATTAAACTCGCTGATAAATAACACGCGTCGATTCTATGTCTGTAACATAAATATTTCGCGCAGGCACCTCGGCACAGATTAATATTGAATGAAATCCCCGATATCGCACGAATATGCTGCTTTTACAGGCCCGTATGGATCTTCGTAAATCATAAAGCAATTAATAATGCCTTTGATATGGCTCGAATGCAAAGCGTTGCATCATGTTATTCGTTAGTTGCTTAGCACACGATTTATCGTTAGTTGCTTAGCGCACGGTTTATTGTGGATTACGACACGTTAGTACGCGCGACCGTTCATTTCACACTCTTAGCAAGATCTGCGAAGTCGCAATATGAAGTGCGCTTTAATTTATAAAGCAAAAAGAAATATTCACTGAACGAAATCAATTTCGCGCGTTAAATTTGAGAAATGTCTCTTCAATGAGGCACTTTTCGCGTAGAAATTTTCTCAGACTTTTCCCGTATACAGCATAGATTTCGATTGCCTGTAGAATAAAATTCCCAATACATTGCGTGATATTGTCAATTCTAACGCGTTCAAGTACAAACTTTATGACTATTTACTGGAGCTTTCTTCTTAAACAGGCGGGTTATTCTCGTTTATTTGTCATCTTATGTTTTTCCTATTCTTTATATTTTTTAGATTGTATTTTGTATTGTACATTTTCTTATCTATTTCCCTGTTATTTTTAATTTTGTATTTTCTTATTTTATATCTAAAATTGCGTTTGAGGGGAAGTTTTCCCAAAACGCCCAATAAATTCATCTCTCTCTCCTCTCTTTCTTTCTTCTTTTTTCAAGGTAGTTTCCGTTCTCTCAGAATGAAGAATTAGCCACAGACGCTCGATCCAAAAATATATTATATTCTTGGAAATGAGTGAGGAGCGCCACGTGGTCCATTACGTGATTACCTTAGGTGTCGTGTCACTCTGCGCTGCGTCCTAGAAAACGAGGTGCGTGTTCTCTCTGCACATCCGCACCGCTTTCGGCCATAAAGACGCGACGGAACACGTCGCAACGAATAACCAGAAGGCCACTTTGCTTCCTGGAGAGAGCTAAGTTACAGAAATAGCTGGCACCTCCGTGGAGAGAGAGAGAGAATCTAGGATGGTGCTTAATTCATGTACTCTTTATTTAGCTTTCGCGATAGCCGCGGATTTCCAGTGCGTTGCGCCGTCGCTCGAATTCACCGCGACGATAGTCGTATACGTTTTCTTTCCCACCGGGGCACCATTCTGCGTCTGTAACAATGAATACGTACGCAACATTAAAGAGTCAGTGCGGTGACGTTAACCCTTTATGACCCTTCATGACCCAAGGAATTTTTTCTTTATGAATTTCTGTTATTTTCCTTTCTAAAACTACCTTAAAATATACTTTTTTACGTAGCTCCCAGAAACCCACCATCACGATGGTGGAACGGTTGGGCCTTAATGGCACGTGAACGGAAAATGTAAGGGAGATAGTAATCACTCTGATATAACGCGAGCAGTAATTATTATTAAATCATTACACAATGTATACACGAGCATAACAAAGTATAAATGTTATCAGGGCGGGAGATTCGACGTGCGAGCGAACAATTTATTACGACGCGCGTCGGGGGGGACAGCGTCCGATCGCAATTAATTTCATCTCCAGCCAGCGTCTGACGTGTCTCTCCCACGGCGGCGTGTAATTATTTCCCGTGCTTGAATATGTTTCGCCGCCTTTCCGCATATCCCGCGCGCATTAAACGTGCTGCCTTCACTCGTAACAGATAACCGTCCACTGCCTGGGAGACGAGGCGACGTTACGGAGATGGCTGGTCTACGATCCCCGTCAGAGGGTGCAGGGCTGGAGGTTCGCCTCCTACATGCTGCTGCACTCGAACGCACTTCACCTCGCACTCAACGTGGTCATTCAGCTGGTCCTGGCCACTCCACTTGAGGTGAGCCAATCAAGTAAATTGCGGGGACGTCGTTCAGCTGGCGTGTCGAGACACCGCGTTTAAGGGAACGAGCCTCTCCTCCAGATGGGGCGAGGCTTTTACACCGGATAACATTCGCATACCGGCGAATTAAATCGTTCCGGTCGTATCATAACGCGAAACACTGGCCGACGCTCTGATACGAATATCTCATGTCGGCTTTACTTCTTGGAGAAACGTAGATTATTACGTGACGTCTGGAGAACTGTTTATAGACGCACATTATCCTAATTGCGATAGATTCCATTGATTGTCAACACATCGGTGAGTACCGACGAAGAAAATTATGCCGATGGATTGATCATACGTAAACACGTTTTTCTTCTTTCACGCGCCTCAATTGACGCACAAAATGTGAGCGAAATTCAAACGAAATTTGAATGAATTTAAATTTAATCGTAAGAAAATAGTTGGACGGACCAGCTGCCTTGAACCGACGGAAATCGCGGAGCAAGACGCGGCTCGCTCTTCGTCGCGTAATTAGGCCGGGATTTTCGCCGCGGTGTTCCGACGATAAGCAATTAGCACGAGAGATCGATACGAGCGGGCGCAAATCGTGCGAGGCGGGCGGCGGGCCCGGTGGTAAAGAGCTCGTGATTGTAGGTGGAACAAGGGCGAATAGGAGTTGCGACCATCTACCTGGGCGGCGGGGTGTGCGGCGCTCTGGGCGCCTCGCTTCTGCAGCCGAGCCTCTACCTGGTCGGCGCCTCGGCAGGTGTTTACGCGCTGCTCACGAGCCACCTCGCTCATCTCTATCTGGTAAGCGACGGAACGGCGTAAGGGCGAAAACTCGGCTCGCACAAACCGTGCTCCCTGAAAGTTCGCGCGCCAAGGGAAGAGCTTCGCCGGGAAAACGCACGGCGAGATACCCCCGCGAATCCTATTGAGCGGCAGCGAGTGAACGGACATTCCCATTGAGAGAATGTGTGCGCGTGTTCGTGCGCGAAAGCCCCCGGAGATTCGGCTTTAATCACTCGGTCACGCTGCGCCTACGATCGAAGTTTTCGTTCCGGAATACCCATCGGCCGGTCGCGTCTCAATCCTCTTCGGCCCCGTGATTACTACTCCGTTTTCGCGAAATCGATCAACTCTCTCACTGAGCGCTGAATTAACGAATTATCGGGTTAACGGATAATCGGGCGGATATACACGCAGAAAATGATTGTTGAACAATATTTGTAATAGTGTAATTTTGTGGAATTGTATTACTAAATATAAATGTTAAATGGTTCTGAATTGAAGAAAATATTTATTAGAATTATAAAGTGCCTCACGGGGACAAGCTTTGTGAAGACGTAGAACGGATTAAGGTGAACAATGAGATCCTCTACCATCTCGCAAACACGCAGAATTGTGAATTATTAATGATTGCAATGGCGTACGGAATTCTTTAATTAATAACTCAAAAATTTGCGTGTCATTTGCAAAATGCTACAGGACTTCTTTCTTCGGAGCGGCTTAATCTACAATGACAGCTGTTCCATCTAATGGTATATTGAACTTTGAACCTCGAACTTTGAACTTGTCGCTAAGTATAGCAGCTGTCACATACTTGTAGATTAAGCCGCTCCAAATAAAAAGTCCTCTGCCATTTTTGTAATACTTTTGTTTCCACTGAAAAAACCTAGTATTTTTTTTTTCCGTCCAGTGAAAATTTTTTTAGAAATAAATTCTGTTCTCAACATTATGAATTTAATACTTGTTGCAATTATTTCAACGTGTACAAGTAAATGTCCATTTACACCAAGGAGATATCATATTGTATGGTGAATTATATTTCTACTTCCAGTAAATACTTGCCAAGGAATATTGGAGTAACTATTTTACTTAGAGATCATATAAATATTACTTGTACGGTAGCATGTTTTTCCGCGTGTGAGAACGGCAGAAACACAGGATATTCATTGTGTTCGCGACGTAGATGACAGAGCTACGACGTAAAGCAATTGTAATCATGTCGTACTCATTGTTCCCCAAAATGTCCCATACTGCCTTGAAAATACGCTACTACGGCACTTTCTTTCGTTTGACGAATATTCACATCTTCGGAAAGAATTTTCTGCGTGTAATTTTTTCCGTCGTAGCCCCCTCGACGGAGGTGGTTGCATTTCTCCCGGTCTAACTCGTTCGGTTGCAGTGCCACGGCGAGCTGCGCTACGCCGGCTGGCGTCTCGGCGCCGTGCTGCTGTTGGCCGGTGCGGACGTCGCGTCGTTGCCGATCCCGGCGCTGCTCGGATGCGGCCGGGTCGGATGGGCGGCCCACGTGGCGGGCGCGCTGGCGGGTCCGCTTCTGGGTCTGGCGGTGTTCCCGAAGCAGAGCAAGAAGGACGCCCGGGGCCGCAGGTTCGTGCGATTCGTGCGGCTGCTGTCGGCCGTGAGCGTGATGCTGCTGCTCGTCGGCGCCGTCCTCGGCAATGTCTACCTGATCGCCCTGCCGCAGCTCAGGAAGCCGTCCTGACAGAGGATCGAGCTGCTGGTCAAGCTCTGCAAACGCTCCTTCCTGATCGTAAAGATCCGGGAGGCCGCCGAGAGTGTGTTCGAGTAGGTTCGCGCGGACGCCGTGCGGCCGATCGACGCGGTACCCGCGCGATCCTGATGAGCGTCCCACGTCTCACCGCCACTGAAGATCCCCCGGGTTTTTCGTGGAGGCCTCCCTCGAGTTTCACGCGTCTCTCTTGTCTTGACCGAGACGGTACATCGAGGGGCTACGCGAGAGACCGAGGGAGGGACGTTTGACGACGAACATCACGCTCACACGCGGAGCGCCGGAAGACACCAAAGATATATATATATTACCGGCGAGTTTCGTCGAATTTGTTCATGCTACTCTCGCTGCCACTTAGAATGTCTAGAATCTCGTGGACTCGGCCGACACTCGGCCGCCTGAATGCGCGCGCGAACACCGCGAATGCCGTGTGACTCTTCACGCGCCGGCTACACTTTGATAAATTTCATATTGCAGACATTTCAGTAATACGCATACACGCATACGTCGCGACTTTTCTACGAACAGGTGAAACGTTTCGAAGGAGCCACTGATCGACGACCATCACCTTTCCGTTCGGGGACTGTGCATGAGTATGAAAATGTTTAACGATACAGTTCGTAATGATACTTCTCGTTGTATCGATCTTGATCTATATATTGTCGAAGCAGAAGGACTATGAAAGTGAAATGTGTGTATAATAAAGTTAAGAGAAATCACTCTACGATATATATATATATATAATATATATAAGAAGCCGAAGCGCACGCGCGCAGACGCGCGAATTATTAGTTCGCCCGGCGAACGGACGATTATTATTGTGCGGGATGTGGAGAGTAATTTATTTAAATAACTTAAATAAACGTAAGCGCGCAGGAGGAAGACGAGATTATTATTATTATGGCTCGCGAGTTGCGCGAGATTTACGAGCACGTTTTGAAGCCAATAACGTCGCTGCTGCCAGGACGTCGAGGGCAATGAGAGAGGGGCACTTTCATCCTTTCCATTATTCGTATTAACAGTCTAGCGTGTACGAGGTATGTAAGGAGAATGTATAAAATAAAGCGATCGCGCTATATTAACGTAAACGTGTTATGATAACGAGAATTTTAATAAGAGGCAAGATAAGTATATATCGATCGTTAAAGTAGGCCGAAGTTTAACGACACGGGCGTAACACACACACACACACACACAAGCGGGCGCGAGCCGTGCGCGCTCGCGATTTCGAGCGAAGCCACCGTAGAAGGAGTAATTTCTCTGTCGTAGAAGTAACATCGTAAGATTATAGCCACGAGTGTCATCTTTCGACGTTATCCGTTAATGTAGAACCAAGGAGGGGGGGGATGTTGCCGGAGTTAAAACCCGGGACGAATTCCTTCGCGTTAAATCAACGGAGATTCCTGCCATGTGTCCCGATAAGTGTGCGAGAGAACGGATCTTTTATAGCGTAACGCGAGGTAACGCAAAGATAATCGCGTTTCTATTTACGAGGCTGTAAAACTTGCAAGAATATTTATAGCGTAGCGCGTAATGTCCTCTTAATCACGATGCTAACTATGTAACGGTCGTTATGAGAGCAAAAGAGAGTGAGAGAGAGAGGGGGGGTTGGTTGGGTGAGTTCGTATGCGTTCCTTCGAAAACGTTCGTCACGTCGGAGAGATGAATTTTTGACCCGTGTGTTGTCTCTCCTCGCTTCGATTGAACGCGATCTCTCATTACGACTCGGTGAAACCCGCTTCTCAGGATTGTCCCTCATAAGCGATCGTGCGAAGGTAATTCGAGAGTTGCGCGATGGCTGCGTTGCGACGGCTCGTCCTTCGCCAAAATCGATCGACCACTTACCGATAATAACTTCCGCCGTGCGAGACACCTGATTTTCGAATCTCTAATCGCTTCGCATCAATGATGATTGGTCCGTCGTGAGGCGCGCCGCTTTGCGCGAGAGCGCGCAGCTCCCGTGTCGGTGGGATCTGGTCGGTGCCGAAGTGTGAGTTACAATTGTGTGCGCATAATACACGCCCCCACACACACACACACACATATAAGCACGTACTTAGCGAATGTAGAAGGAAAAGTCGTGGAAAAGAAGAAAAAAAAAAGTGAAACGAAGAATAATGTGTTCTCCCCGGGCAATTAGTCGTGTACTCATACCTACTTGTTTATCAATGTTACATGAGGCGAACTGGCTGTGATTATGTTAGTGTTGTCGTCGACACGATTACATTATGGAACCTTGTAAATAAATGAATTATTAAATATAAATATCGTCACCGCACGCAACAGACTCACACAGACGCATGCGTACGTACATCACGAAACACGAACACACACACATATACACGCTCATGTACACGCCCGTAAACACATACTGTGATTTCGCCGCGAAATAATAATGAGGCCCCGTTACCTCCATTGTATATCGAAACAATCGATTGCCTGCAATAAAGTCAAACGAATCGTATGAAGTTTCCAAACTGATACAATCTCGAACCGCCGATCTCCTTTCCCCCCCGCTACCTCCTCCCCCTCCCAACCCTCCGCTGCGTGCATTACCGATTGCCACCCATTCAATATCCGCTGTTATTATTCCGCATTATATCGAGCGTACGGCTCTCGCGCATTTTAAAGATTAGAGTTAATTACATTTCCAATTATTACGAGCGCGTCGCTCTCGATCAAACGCGCCGCGCTTTTATCATTTTCCCGAACAATTTCCCGAGCGGAGGAAAATTAATTAAATATTTTAGTAACGCCATCGGGCGCGCGCGCTTGGATCTTCTCCGATTTTTTTTTCCTCCGCGGCGGAATAATATTAGCGGAACGCGTTTCCGATAGCATTTCGGGAGGAGGTGTCGCGTCCATCAGCGAGAACTAAGGAGGGAGAAACCACGAACATTTGCTCCCCACGTGCGGTGCAAATTTCGTTAGGAATACGGGAATTGGGGGGGCTCAGGGCGGAGACCCGCTGCATTTTACGTGAGAGAAAGAGAGGGCGAGAAGAGGGGACGTCAAAGGAGAGAGGAAAGTAAGGATGGAATAATATAAGAGTTTACTTTGCCACCAACGTGGTGTGCATACAGGGTGAGACAATAAATAAAGGTTACCACCTTGAGGATCTGCGAAAAAATGTAAGGTTCTTTCTGACGGTCCACGGTGAACATGAAGAAAAGTTCACATTTATAGAAGATCTCTGAAGAGGTTCGACGAGCTTTGCTGCAATCTTTCCGTTGGATACATTTCCCTCTGCCCCTATTTCGAGATATTTGAAGTAGCGATAGTTATTGCCGTACCCTGTACGAGCTTCTCTGCGGAGCACTCGAAGCGTCGGCTTTCCGACCAACCGATTCGAATGCTCGCGTAAAAAAGTAAGAAAGAGAGGAGAAGAGACCGATATATCATCGGCAGACACATGACCGCGATCTTCTCCTCCCTCGGCAGAGAAGCGAGATTTTTATTTGCCGGAATTTAATAAAATCCTCACGACGCACAGCGAAAGCTCTATTTATTGTCGATGCAGTCACAACCGCGCCTTTGTTCGGCGAATACATAAAGAATACTGAGAGTAGTCGCACGCGAATGCTCGCAGGGCGCAGATGGCTCCGGTAGAGCGTAATAAAAGAAAGAACTCGGTAAAAAGGACTCTGACAATGCAACGCCTTATACATACGAGAAAGCATCGCGGCGCGCGGTAATTACGGCGGAAGATTTACGGAATTCGGCTCGCGTCGGCGCAAACATAATTCTATATTCGCTATCTCTAATTCGTTCCTCCTCTCGATATCGTGACAACGAAAAGCAGCAACGCTGGGAAGTAATGAGATTAATATTTATTCGATCGACGCGTCGTGCGTGTACGACCGTCGAAATTATTTCAGCATCATCGCCAACAACAATGGTTGTTGACTGATTACGTTGGATTCCGCGTGTGGCTGTGCGTTCTGTTTGTTTTTCTCTGTGTGTATGTGTGTGTTGTAATATGGCGATAATTGCGATACGAAGCATATCTTCGCAAATTCTCCAATTTCAATCGGTGATGCTAATGAGATCGTTATTGTAACTTACGAACTAACGTACAAACATTGTTCATCCACGCGGGGAAACATTTACGGCGGAATTGGCCGAATTTTCAACGGTGCGGCCGACTCGAAACTTCGGCCCTACATTAAATCCATTTAGTTCTACATTAAGTCTTCAGGAGGAGACGGAAATAACTTCCCATTTGTAGCATCAAAGGAGCATTAATAGTGCTTCTTTGATGCTGCAAAAAGAAATGTAGACCTCCCGGGGAGGGAATTTTAAATTCTACAATAAATCTTCCCGATTGGAGATAACTGAAATGACTTCTCATAGAAGACCTTCGAAGACTCAATGCGGAACTAAAATTTCGACACGGGCACATGCTCCGTGAGAGCTGAAACAACTTCTCCGAAACAGCAACTGAATTAGATAGAATCGATCTTTGCCTTATGGAAAATCACTCGAAACGCCCCGTGCGTGTTATTCCTTTTTCCCCGGCCGGGACCTGAATTTCTGACGAACTCTCGCGAGTCACGAGAGGTGTTGCGCGCACAAATCTCGATCGGCCGTGTAAAAAAGGCGCGCCAATTCAACGGGATAATTCGGATCTCGCGGGCGCATCTCCGTCGAATGATTATTCCCCCTCATCCTTGCTGCCGTGGCACTCGGTATCTTTAGCATTCGGCTCGGGGAGATAAATTACCAAGATAAATCAAAACGGCGGTTTCTCCCCCCCTCTCGCTATATAGACGGATAATTCCCATTAAAGAGGAAAGGCGGTCAGGACGGGGCGAATACCGCGCTAACTTCCGCCTTCATCCACTTATCCTTCGAGGCACGGAAGGACTATTTCTCACAATTACATCCTGATCGATCCCGCCAGGACGTGGATTCTCCTAAGGCTCGCGTTTATGACCACCGCGCGACGTCCCGGGAATAATGCCGCCGCCGATACAGACAGAAAACGACGAGCACGAGAGAAATTAGAAAGAGGAATCTGGGAATTCCGGCGGATAAGGGGGTTCCGGGGAGGGATGAGAGGAGGGTGGAGGTGAGGTTCGGTCGCCGCGAACTGTAAGCCGGATTACGGGCGATACGTCCGATCGGAGGAAAGGGAATATCCGCGAGCATCAGGTAGGACGCTTCGAGGAGACGCTCTCCTTTCTTCCCTGCCGTTTCGCGTGCCATTTTTTTCTCTCACCGGCGATCGGAACTTTCGCCCTTATAATTCCCGGCCGAAACACTCGTCTCTCTCCGAGAAGTCGCGGATATGAACTCGTCGCTCTCTTCGAACTTCGCGGGAGGGTGGGTGGAAAATATATATTCGAGGAGAAACGATTGAGGGTCGCCGAGGCTCAAATTTCATTAGTTTCTACATAAAGTGACACCGGGGCGGACGGTGGGACCCGTAGATATTACATCCAGTTGGAGTAATCTGACCGCGAACGTCGGTGTCTCGTTATCGAGGGTCATCGAGAGAGACCATCGGTTCTCCGCCTGGATAATTACGCGGCCCCGAGTTGGCCCGGAGTTCCGGCCGAAGATTCATCGCGCTGCCGTCTCGACGGAAGGTGCAACAGCAAGCAAGCAGGTCGTCTCGATAGTTTCGGAGATTCATAGTTTCAGACAGAATGTCTAAACTGTGACGGCAGCCAACTATTTCTGCTGTACCGTCTCGTCTGTCCGGAGTGTTCGGTCAGTCGTCGGGAGAAAACGAGAAACGCAAGATCCCCGTGAAAAGCGATTTTCCCAACAGGGGATACTTCACGCTCGTGGGAGAAACGTGAAATGACGGTTGCAGGAGGGCTCCATCTGTGGAGCGCGTCTGTCGTCGATGACATCGTTGATTCCGTTTCCGTTAAATCCGACGGAGTTCACGACAGCGAATCTTACACTCGAAATTTGCGAACTTGGAAATTTTTATGAACGATCCATCACGAAGTTGTTCGAGTATCCTGTTCAAATTTTGATGCAATTTCACGCGAACGCTCTTCCCCTTTCTTTCTCTCTCTCTCTCTCTCTCCCGATTTCAATATCCAAACATCGTTTTCGGACGCCGGGAGTATCTCGGAGAGACTTTCCGTTTGCCGTAACGTAAACCTTACAGATCTCGGGACGAAAACGAGAAAGATACGATCCGCACTGTGTCAGGAAGAGAGCGAGCCACCCCGTTCGCGAAGAATCCCGCGCGCAATGTGGTGCACTCCCCGTTTCCTCGGCATCGGATGTGCAAAGAACGAAGCCTGGGTTTACAAGTCGACGATCGATTTGATGTCAGAAATGGATTTTTCGGATCATTCGATTTCATAACCACTGAATTTTTCATTGACGCAGAGAAGAATCGGCGCTGCATTCGCGAGATCCGCATGACGTTTTGTTAATATCACGTCGATGTGTAGTCGATCGATTATCGACGTTCTAGTCGGTAGCTAGTCGTCACAATGTCCTGTATCCACGTATGAACTTGATATGGATACGATATATATTCGATTGCCCGAGTTGAAATATTAAATTCCACACCGAGTTTTCAGGTGAAGAAAACGGAAATAACGTTTTCACTTGTTGCATCAATGGTTGCATAACAGAAGACCTTCGAAGACTCAATGTAGAACTATAAACTACACTTCATGTAGGACTAAATTTCGACTCGGGTAAATCGTTAATATCTTTGAAATATCACGATGAAGTCTTACAAATACTAAATCGTGCCGTTGAAAAAAAAGCCAGATGGGAATCCATATAGGAAATTCACATGGAATGGTTGCCTCTGGAGATTTGCGTCCCAAGTGGATTCCATGCGGATTCTCACATGGATTTTGAATACCCTATATGGATTGGACTTGCACGATTAGGGAGTCCAGCTGGAAATTTTCAGCGGGATGATTTCCACATGATTTCGACTTGACATAATGTCGGCCGGATGTTTCATCGACGTGTCAACCCGGGAGGTCTCGTTCGCAAGTGTTCTTTTAACATTGTATCCCCCGGTGGTTTCTCCTAAGAGAAAGGGAGAGAGGGAGAGAGAGACAAGAGACCGGCGTCGGATCAACACTTCAGTGGCTTGCACTGGACGCCGATTTCTGCGCACCTGCACTCCAGACAGGGATTCGAGAGCTCCGCGATGATTCTGCCAACGCGATACATGCGCCCGTATATATTACAGCCCGCCAGCTTCAGCAAACTTCCGACGTACGTCGGTATCTCGTTGTCGAGGACCTTCGAAGACGTCTCGACAGCCGCCGTCTCCTCGGTTAACCCCTCCTCGCTCGTTGACGAGACGGCGAGAGGAGCCTCCTGACGTGCGCCACTGACGGGGGATACATCAGGCGTCCTTTCGGTCGCGGTGGTGTTCGAGGAGAACAGCAGCTCGAGGACGTTGTCGAGAGAGAAGACATCGTCCCTGACGGTCTTCACGGTCGACGAGCCGTTCTCCGACTCGCTGTGCTTCCCGTCGCGATCCTCGCTCTCCGTTCGCTTCTGCTCGTTGCCGCCTCGACGGAGACCGTGCCGCGAGTCGTCGTCGTTCGTGCGATTGAACGTGCCGAAGACTTTCTCGCGGTTCACGAACCGATCCTCCGATTCGTATGTTAACGAGACGGTGTCCTTCGAGGACGCGTCGTATTTGATCCCCGAGATGAAAGGTGAGTCGACCGTTCCTCCCCCGTAATCGAAGGGTGGCCGTATAAGCGGCACCTGCTCCATGAAGTCAAAGTTCGACGGGTGATTGCCTGCCAAGCCTTGAGTCTTCGAAGCCGCCACGGACGTCGTCGGCCTGGACGTCGTGATACCGCGTATCATGTCCTCGATTAAGGAAGGTAGGTCGGGAGCCGGCTCGGTCTTGATGACGTCGCGAAAGGGGTCGGGGGAAACCGTAGGCTGCCGCTGGGAAGGCGCAGTGGCACCGGCGCGGTTCAGCACCACCGTCGGCGACTCGTCCGCTTTCACTGTGATTTCGCTTCATTTAGTAATCGTGCTCTTTTTAATCGCTATACTTTCTTAATCGTACTTTTAAACCAAAATATGACCGTTGAAATAACAAAATTATTATGATCGAAGATTATCAGATCCGCAAGTGACGAAAAAGGCTTACAATTATTCGTTTGTGTGACCGTATTTTTGTTAATTCAGTAATTATAGCCAGTTATTGTGTAATTGTCAATGCTCTTACGAGCAGTCGGGGGCGATTGTTAATAGCGATAGTGAGACGTACCGCAAACGATCTCTCCGCAACACCTTCCCTCGGAAGTGATCCTCCGACAACCGATTTTCAATGGCGGGCACTTCTCCGACGAGCACACGATCTCCCCGTAGTAACACATGCAGATTATACAGAGGGCGGTGCTGGGCAAGATCTCGCCGTGACGGTATTCCATATTTTCCAAGCGGCACTTGCTGGACAGGTCTAATTAGGCAGGACGTGTCGATTAGCGACGCGAGTCGTAATGCGACGCTCAAAAAAAAGATATTCACAGCAGATCGACGATTAATCGAGAAAGTGCCGAATGTATACCGTCGTTTTTCCGATGCGGATTCGTTATCTGCGCCGGGACCACGGTGACTCCGGTACCGATCTCGAGATTCAGGTCCGTGGAATGATAGGGAACGTCGAAATACGAGGGCTCCCTGGGAACAAAGCCACCTGCGAACAAACGTTTCACTATTTATAATTCGTTATTTATCAGAAATATGTCACATTATAGAGAAAAGGGAGGACGAGTTTTACCAAGTTAATGACATGCCCAACTCATTTTTGCCCCTAATAATAAGTAAACGGATAATAAATCGTCCGTTTGACTTCAATCTGTCAACGACAGTAGATAATATAACAAAAGATATATTTTTGACGTAACCATACGTAGCTCCGTGATATTCCGGCGTAAAGAATTGCACAGTTATAGTAAATATTCCGCTTTCTCTATAAAATTACCGTGTAATGTATCTAAAAACGCATATAACGTATCGTTATTTTTCACTTCCCGTATTACAATATTTCTTTTAATGCAATGAATAAATACGACGTGACCAACAATATAACAGCGCTCTATTTTTCCTTTTCCTTTCGTTAAAACGCGAATGGCTCGATTAAAAATAATTAAGCGACCTAAAGAAGCGCAGGCGCTTCGGGAGTGAGTTGTTTTCTGATACATATATTTATGCACTTTAGCTCTCGTTTTTAAAGTTTCTCGCCGAGCACGCCTTTGCATCCAGGCCGCTCATTTGACTGCGCGCAGAAAGTCATAAAGTACCTTCGGTCTCTACGGGCGGGCTAAATCGGTTCTCCTGGGTCGCAATGTCGTAAAAACCGGAAGCATCGGTCGGTCGTAGCTCTGAGGCCACTACCACCGAGCCCGGGGAGTACCCAGTCTCGGGCGAGGATACGTCGTCCTTGCCGTTCACCAATGCGTCCGCCGCCACGAAGGGTATTATCCTGCAATGACCGAAATTCAGTGTTTCCGTTAACGCGATGCGAGTGAATTCCGCGCGGAAACACCGATGAAAGAACGCCGTGGAACACCGATAACGTTTTAACGGAGAAAAAGTAGATCCTGATTCCTCCCGAAGGATCAGTCATTATTTAGGGCTCGGATTAATAATCGCCCGCGCGTGAAAACGTATCGCGAATAAACTCGGCGTATAAAGAGAGAGAGAGAGAGAGAGAAAACAATAGCCGTTTGCAGATTACAAAAACCGACCGGTACACCGTGCATTTTCCGCCGTTAAAAAATGTAACGCCATAAATCGGCATCAATCAGTTGTTTTCGACAAACGATATCAATTTCATTCCCGACGTTACCAAGCAGCATTCTCCGAAACTCACGCCGTCCAAAAAACAGAAAAAAAAGAACACACACACGCGAGCGATCCAGCGTTATAAGCGTGAAAAATTGATTGCACATCGCGCCGTGTGTAATAAAAAGAAATAAAACGCACTGTCGATTACATCGACTGCGTGCACCCGTCGATATTCGCCTGCCCGCGCGCGCGCTCTGAAAATATCGCAATTATGAAGAGGCTCGGAAATTTTTCGAGCGAAAATCTCTCTCACTCCGTGCGGACGGTTCATCACCAGGTGGGAAAAGGGAAGCGTCAAGTCGCGGCGGTGACGATATCCCGCGCGGTTGACAACACGGCGATGACGAATCGAGATATGATAACAATCACCTAACGTTCGGCAGCAAGGCCTGTCCGCTGTAGTCGTAATCGTAATCCTCGCCCTTTTCGCGATGAGTGATGTTCAGAATGGCTTCTACGTCGGGCAGTATGGATTTAATTGGATTTATTGTGACACCTTGTATATGACCCACCGAGACATTCGTCTTCACTGTCACGTTCATCACCAGGATGTCCTCCGGCATGAGTATCGTCGACGATGGACTGGTGACGGGTCTCTTACCGATGGCCCCTGTCCTCTGCGTCACACGCGTGTTTAATCGTAACGAACACGCTCGCGCCTATTTTACGGTGGACACGCGAAGACAGTCGGAATTATCTCCTGAGGATTTTCGTCCCGACGAGGAGAGCGAAGATGTTTCAAATTTGTTTTATTCGAACGAACCTCATCGAAGGACCAATCACGATATACGATAGAGTATCTGTCGCTAAGTGGGTCATACATTTGTAGTTTAGGTCAGTGTGAGCAAAAGAGTCCTTTTGTAAACCACCACGTAAAATTCCGAGATGTTGATTATTGAAAGTGAGCGTCATATAGGCTTCTTTGATTAATAACTCAAAAATTCCCGTGGTTATTTGCAAAAGGACTCTTTTGTTCAGAATCGCCTGATCTGCAAGTATACGTACCTATCGACAAACACCGGTATATTGAACCTTGAACTTATCCCACTTACAGACGGACATCCTATACATAACGTTACACAAGCCCTATTGTCCTTTGATGCTGTTTCATCGCTATTTTCTCCACGTCGAGGCTTAAAGAAGGACTTGTTTCAAAATTATCTAATGTATTCCGTTATCTCGATACTCTATTTACATTTAATCTTTTCTTAGCTTCAATAATCAATGTATCAATCATGTAGCTTACTTGACTGCAAATAGATCATGGAAGATAAGTGAATATTAAATAGTTAACACATACATAAATAAAGAAATCGGTAGGAATAAAACGGTAAATTTGCCTCTTTCTATAAGATCTCGAGATTCAGTAGGTGTGAAAAGGGAAGGAATTATGAGGGAACAAAATAACGCATATCCAATATTATTTAAGCGTCTATAGAAACTTAAATTTGGATTCGGCACAATAACAAATTATGGTGGGGGGAACCGAGCCTTAGTGTTGATCGTTGTGATTTCTCGATCACCGAATACACGCGCCATTGTTTGGCAGGCAACTACGGTTGCGATTGATGGAGGGGTCACCCGTCTTACCGATTGTTTACATACTCTCGTGCGTCACATACCCGTCCGTGACCGTCTCATTACGTCTCGAGTCGGCGGACAATGAACACATAACGCAACGCGGAGTCCGTGTATCGGTGTGTTAATTATTCCCGGAGATTTTTAAGCATTTAAACGCCCTCTCGTCGGCGCCGTGTTACTTAACACGCGTTTCTCAAATCGTATCTACGCGAGTGTTAATGAGTGTCAGTGTTAATCCCACGAAGGAGAAGGATGCAGAACGAAAAGAAGCGGGGCAGCGAGTGACGCTACGTCATACATTTCCAGGTGTGTCAAAAATCAATCATTATACCGATCAATTATTATTCTCGGTTTTAACGGACGAACTCTCCGAGAATACGGAAATATCCAAGTCGAAACTTAGGTCGACGTTCATAGTCCGTTATCATTTAATAAATTACAACCTGACGATTATACTTTCATAAATTTTCGATTATTCTTCAATCTGTACTTGTGCTTATTTTACGTGACAAGTAATATTAATTCTTGAATAATAGTTTGCGAGTACGAATCTATAATTAAATGCGCTCTCAATCAAATAATTTACGACTACGAATATCGACTTTAGAATGTAATACTCGAAAATAGTGATATATTAATAATGATTTCTGCCTCTAATAATGCTTCTTCGATCACAAATACCGTTGTTTTTTCATATCCACCAATTTCCTTTTGCTGCTCCTGTTTATGGAGTTGTTATTATTGTAACGAGTTCAAATTTAAATTCTCTCTTTACACACGCAGCATTATTGGGCATAAACAACTGTTATTTTTGCAGCTTTTTTTATCGGCTCTTTTGAGAGCCTCTCACGGCCGGAAGAAAACCCAAAATATTTAGAAGTGAAATTTGGTGTTTTATTTATCTATTTCCCATATTAAGATAATCGAATATTAAATAATTCTTAAAAATAAGAGTGCTATATTTATCTTCTTCGAGCTTCAACGTGGAGAAAACATCAATGAGCAGTCAGGTCGTTTGCAGCATCGAGGTAGGTGCATTATCTCGAGATTCTCCATTAATCTTTCGAGTTCGACGGAATTTGCAGGATTAACGTAGAACCGAAATTTCGACTCGGGGAGTTCGTCAATCTCTCGAAACGTCAATTCCGCAAGATGAATGGAAATTGAACGTATAAATATAATATTTAACTCTGTGTGCCGTAATCGGTTATTGGTGACCGGCGTTATGACTTTACCGCGTATTTACCAAGTTATATACACGAAATATAATTAATACAAATCGGTTGCACGGCTAGAATAGAAACCCAATGAAACATACGCTCGCGTCTCGAATTCCATTTATTCACAGCATTTCTGGCAATTCGATCACCAATAAGCTTTCGTACAATCAGTACGGCAGTCAACATGTTAAATGAAAAGCTTCCTTTTACGAAGCGACACGAATTTATAGAAGTCTATGATTACTTAACCCCTTAACCTACGATTTAGATTCGAAAATTTCGGGCCGAAATCGTATACAAGCATACGATTATACATGGGAAGAAAGAAGAAATAGTCCAAAAATCTGGGACTATACGATGACTCCTGGCATAAGAGAGGCAGCCTTTTTTTATCTCTTCGATATTGGCCTTTTTAATTCTTACATTTTATGCAAGAAAATAAATAACGGGAAGAAACAATGTTACGTTGACTATAGAATCAACATAGCCGAATCGCTATTAGCGAATATGCCAAAACCGAATTATAGGGAACGAGGACAATTATCTTCCGGAGATATGCCAGAGAGACTGCACGCGCAGCATTGGGATCATTTTCCCAAACACATCGACCCAACAGCATCAAAATTGAGACCGTCCAAACCTTGTAGAGTTTGCCAGAAAAATAAAAAACGTAGAGAAACAACGTGGGAGTGTAAGAAATGCAAGGTTCCCTTACATCTACCAGAATATTTTGAATTATATCACACCATTGCCGATTATTAATTTTGTATTACTGATTTTTGTATAAATAAACTTTTTGTAGTACTTGCATCTACCACAATTATTACATCCCTTACCAAATATTCTACAAATCCCGATCATCTACTACGGGCTATGCCCGTAATATTCACGTTTGGCCCGATCATCTACTACGGGCTATGCCCGTAATATTCACGTTTCGGCCGATCATCTACTACGGGCTATGCCCGTAGTTGTAGGTTAAGGGGTTAAAATAGATATCTCGAACCACGATTCTGTGTGATTGCTGTTCTACTATTATTAGAAAGAAGCCTGAGGAAGTTTTGAAAATTAATCTGTCATGACCCGAAAGATTGTCGAGTAAAAATAAGCCTCCCCCTCGTAAAATCTCGACTCCACGCTTAGCTTCGGAAAAAAAAATGTCTCGTCGGCGTTTGCTGGTTTTGTCAGAAAGCCCGATGATTATTCCTACCCTCTCTTACCTTGGCGAGCGTGGAGTTCTCGGGCGATTTCACGTCGGGGACAAACGCCTGCCCGGCATCCGTAGAAATTGCGAAAGGATGCGTCGTAGCTTTGTTTTTCTCTATTATGTCCGCTTTCTCGGCCGCCTTCAATCCCGTCATCCCCGTAGAACCGTGTTCGTTTCGGTCCTCATTTTCGCTCGCGTTTTTATCTCCGCTCCCGCCGGTATCCTCGTTTTCATCGTTCCCATTATCGAGCGTTAATTCCGGGAGCACCGTCGTCCATTCCGGCGACGAGATCGTCGTGCCGTCCGTGTTAGATGGATCCTCCACCTCCGTTGTCGTCGCCGCGATTGTCGAGTCCGTGAGCGTGTTCGCGGAGCACGTCGCGCAGGAATCAGTGACGGAATCAGCGTCTTTGCTGGACGCCAACGTCGGCTCGAACGCGGTCGACTCGGTGTTACTCGATAACTGTAGAACGAACGGGGACAAATAATCGTTAACGACGATTGATTTACGATCGGATTTATGATTTTCGCGAGTTCTCGCGGGAGCGCCGGGCATCAACATTTCGACGTAGCGAACCGTTTCCGCGTGTAACGAAACAAAAAAAACTAACCTATCGACGTAATTTATTCAATTTGTAACACACATTTCTACACTCACCACGATGTTTGTGGAATTGCTATCGTGTAAAACGATTTGTCACGATTATATGCAATTTAGAATTGTTCTGCAATTTTCTACAGTAAAATAAATAATCAACTTGGCTTCGAGAAAATTCGAATTATCAATATTAGCCGAAGCAGGTAGTACAATGTTGTAATAAACAAATCAGGGATGAATCCTTACAAACCGGTTTAATGTCGAAAATGATGAAAACGCGTTATTGTTCCGAAGCGTTTCGGCCAAGTCTGACTCGGTGAAAATATAATCTTCACAAAACGAGAACACTAAGTAGTCGAAACGGATACAAATTAGAAAAAAATATATATAAATATCGAATGTAAAATTACTTTTAAAGCCGCGATATTGATATTTCTATATTAATCCGCGATTTATTCGCGGTGTAGGGCGATCGATACAATTTTCGGGTTATACGGTGTATCGTATAATATATCGAAACCTCGTTCGTCGAGATCGCGGCAGTCGTCACTTCCAAGGTCGATTTGTAGTCCACCGTCCCTATCAAGATTTCATTGTCCATGATGTCGGTCTCCATGGTTGAGGGCCAAGCGGTCGAGTAGGTGGCGACAGACGAATCCTCCTCGAGATCGATCGCGCCGGTGCTAACTTGTTCCTCGACCACCCTGTGGCCTCGTCCTTCGACGGACGGATACGTAGATTGATCGATCGTCGGCTGAGCAATTAATAACAGATTCGTGCCGTAAATTCGAGCAGGATCGGCTCACGCGAGAGGACCTTTTATTAACCTCTTTTTTTACTCTCTTTTTCAATTTTTTTTCTACCATCTCTTTTTTTCTCAAGGCGAAACCGTTCTTCCGTCTACACGCGCGGCTCCAAGACCGCCCGGTGTAACTCGATCGATCGAATCAATTTGACGACGTCGTAGCGTCGTTTGCTGACCGAGCTCAATTACACGCGAGAATTCCATTCCTCGATGTCGCAATATAGAAATCGAAATAAACAAAACGGACGAGCACACGCGGGGGCGTAGAATCCGCGAGAAGGAAATAAGCTTCGGTAAATTCCGAAATACAGAGAGAAAAAGAGAGAACGTCGGGTCTCGTTTACTCGGCAATTCGGAACGGACGTCTTTTTGTCGCACGTGACAGACGCGCGCTCGTTCAAGAATCGTGACGATCCGTCCGTCGCGCCGTGTGTGTCGTTTCCGATGTCTAAGTAGATTCCCGTGTATCCCGCGAGAGATACGAATTCCCGTAACATAAGTAGCGTTCAGTCCTAACGACGTCATCCATTAATAATAAACGCAATACGTCCATAATAGATACATCATCACCCGATCCGAAACTCGTATCGCGCCTCGTGATCCAATATAAGGAATGTTCCGAAATTCCCGAACTAAGTCGGACGTCTAACGCGTTTATAATCAATGTTACGGCTAGATCTCATTAATTAAATTCCACCGACTGTACATAAATCACCCCCTCCCTCCCACGCTTCTAACTTTGATCATCTAGCGCGCGCGCACGCCCGTTCCTATTTAGTAACTATTTAGAATAGTAGGCTTATTTCGGGCGAGGCGACAGTTTCGAACTATTTGGCATAGCTTGCCGAGAAACGAGGTGACGTTAAATAATCGTTAACGAGGTCCACGCTTGAGGCCACAATGAGGACCTATACGTTTTAGTATAAAAAAGGGGCAAACGTACGACAAAGTTGGGCTCCTTGCGGAACTTGGCGTAGTCCTTGCTGATGAAGGCGTAGGATGCGTAGTTTTGGATGGCCTTCACCTCGATGCCACCGCCTTGAAGATTCGATCGGTCAGTTCCTTGCGATTTTTTAGGTTGCGTAACGTTACTGAGTGGGTGATCAAGAGGTGTCGGGAAATAAGCCTGATTTATTCCCCCCCCCCTTTTTTTTTCTTTTCACACAACCGCGTTTCTCTCATTGAAGTACAGTCTGTCCGATAAAAGCGTGACCAATGTAACTTTTAAACTATTTATTTTTAAAAAATGAAAAAAAAAATCACATATGCACCACACAATCAGTACTGCAGCGCTATTTGTAGGTCATCCAATCACCACCATTAAAGGACGCACTCTTGAAGGATCCAATTTCCTTATCTTTACTTTGAAACCACTTTTTTCGGCAGATGATACGAATGGCTCTCTGATAAATTTCGACCGTCTTCTTGGCATATAAATCGTCAGTGAAGTAGACCGAGGCGAATTGGATCTCAGGGAGGGTCAATATAAGCTTTGAGACAGTTGTCGTTAGTTTTTTGTCCTGAACGAGCTGTTTTATCGCGTCAGTTACCTCCGTGCGCTTCTTCCGCGCTCATGAAGCAAAGAATTGAATTGAAGCAAAAAAGTAACGACAACTGTCTCGATCCGATTCGCCTCGGTCTAACCTACACTCCGGTACTCATTAAATACGTCGTTTTTTAGCAAAAATCGGACAATAACCTCTCTATAACGTGTCGTAGAGGAAGAGTCCTACTTGCTCGTTCAAAATTTTCCGATGTGGCGGTTTTCAAATCGAAGTTCATCCGGTCACACTCTTATTGGACAGACTGTACGTTTCTTAACGAAGCGATTCTCAAGCGCTTATAAGCAACAATCGACAAAGACAAATGCAGCACCGCGCGTTTTCGTTAGATAGATTTTGACTTTTTTCCGCGGCGATTCGATAAAAGTGTCTCACGTCTCTTCAAAGGTCGTGTTGAAGAATTCAAGAGGCGAGACGTGGAAAATGAAAGAGTGCGTCGTACGGTTCACCAATTCGCATTGGTGAAATTAGCGAGAACCGAAAATGACGATTTGCGCACGCATATCAGCGCATTTGGCTCCTTTTTTAATCTCCCTTTCGAAATGAAACGCGAAAGCATCGGGGAAATTTGTTAGCGGCGGCAGATGAAACGCGCTTTTAAGTCGGCGTTCGCGGGTCACTGGCCGATTTTCGTTCGTTCGTTCGTTCGCATATTTCTACCCGCCGCGATATTAATATCGATGGCTATCACGCTCGCGGAGCTGCCATATTGACTGTATCGAATAAACGCTCTCACGCGGAAATTAAATCCCTTTTTAATTCGCAGATGTTTCTCGCTTCCAAGAATCGGTGCGTTATAATTCGCTTACTCGCGGCGAGATATTTTATTTTTCCCCCGCGCGAGCGGGGAATACCCCACGATGAAATATTTTTAAACCCGAAGACGAGACGTTGTTTGTTGACGACGCGGGCGTTTTGTTATTCCCTGCCGCATCGGCATGCATCAAATAAATATTTTCGCTTTCAGTAAAATATTTTTGTACTTAACCGAGCGCGAAACTCGATCCAGCGTCAGCTGCGACCGACTTCTATCGATGTCACATACGGCATCGCGAGCTAATATTCCCAGAATTTCAAAATATAAAAGAAAGACGGTGTGTGTGTGTGTATTCTGATTTCTTACCGCGTGAAAATCATCGTTTCCACGTCCAAGTGACAAAAGGTGAAAATCTCGAGGGAGTTTAGCGTCCGAAAACTGCGCGCTACAGCAGAATTCAACTCACGGCAATTAAAAAATCATCCAAATTCCGGGCAGCTCGGAAAACAGCACGGTTCAGTGATTACGCGGATATTTTCGCGTTCAAACACGTTGTTTTCGTTTTAGTCGAATGACTTTTCAACCATGACGTTATTTCGTTCGAATCGTTCGCTACGCATAAAAGAGCTCCGTCGGTGAGACGTTATGAAAAAAAAATGACCGGGCCCCGACAGTTTTCAGTATCGTTTACCTATCGCTGAACTCTAGGTTGTACTGAAATGCCAGGTGCTATGTTAACAAAAGTACATCGGAATATACACGGAGAAAAAGATTTCCTTAGATTTAACAAAATTATTTTCTCTAAACAATACTGCTTTTCCCATCAAACAACGTGATTCATTCTAGCGGAAGAATAACATTATCGTTCGAACAAAATATTTGATATTACAAATTATACTATATTATATCAAACAAACACGTGTACTAAATTCAAAGAAACGTTTTTCTCCGCACAGGTAGCATAAATACTATTTCCTTCTCCGTATGGTGATTTCTGATTGGTCAACGATTTTCTACGAACATCCGAATATACCAACAAACTTGTGAAAGACCGCGTTCGAATCGCAAGTTTGACAATTTTTCATTGCACAGAACTTTGCCGCTTTTTTTCCTTATTCGCCCAGTTCTTTTCCGACAATACATTTTCCTCAATTACGGAGATTGCGCGGAGATTACGGATACGGTGATTTGAATGAGCTGATATTTTCAAGCGGAACAGAATACGACGATTAGAGAGGGACGGTACTTCTCGTCTGTCGCATTTCGTCCGTTTCCTCCCGTGGCGCCTAGCATTGCAGTACAGAGTGTGTCCGCTAACGATCCGAAAACGTCAGGAGGCACCCCCCGTGCGATGACGCTGATGCGGAATTTCGGCGCGTAATTCGGCGGAAAGCGGAATCCGGGCGTGAACCCCGCGGGGTGTGCGCTGCGCGAGGCGTAGGACAACAACCCTGATTGCGAACTTGCGTGAACTCACTGCAGTTGTAGGTGGACGGGCAGCATTGTCCCTCCCGCACGATCGGGCTGCAGTCCTGAAGAGGTGGCGCGCACGCGAGCGGAACGCACCGTACGGCGCCCATCGCGCAGAAACAATTGTCGCATGCGGCCTTCCACTCGATGTCGCGGACCATCTCGCCCTCGGCGTAAGTGCGCTCGCCCACGCGACATCCTGCGACGATCATTTGCGTGGGGTCGGTGAGAACGGCAAACCCGAGAAAAAGAACGTGATTTCTTTGGCTCTCCCGGTTGCGTCGGATATTCGCGACTCCCCTCGAATGCCCGGATGTATCTATCCGGGGGACGCGAGCAGAGGGTGTGGTGAATCCGGCGGACCGGCGATATAGAGCTTCTGCGTCTAGGCTTATTCTCTAACTTTTAACGACGATATCGCCGTTGCTCCGTCGTTGCGCGGGTATAATATACGGTGGAAAAGCTGCGCAACGACAAAGTAACGATAACGACACTGTCGTTAAAAGTTACAGAGTGGGGCCACTGGTCAACCCCACGGCGTGTCGTCTTTCGCAGCGTCTCTTGTAATTTTAAATACCGCTGATTACGTGAGTGGGAAATCGTGGCATCTGTATTCGGTAGTACACTGAGAGGAAAAACATATCTAAACAATGAGAAATATTTTTCGGCGAACACTAATAACATATTTACTACAATTTAAATTTTCTTATATATATATATATATATGTAGAATAAATAATTGTTTTTGAAGCTACAGGTTCAAGAAAGTGCATATTTTTTCATTTGAAAAAAAATATTCTCAGGATAAAAAAATATATATATGTCATATGTTATTCGTATAAATACTTCTTATATTTTAGATATTTTTTCTCTCAGTGTGTACAAAAATCAATCGATCAGCTGCAGAAAATGTGGCGATTCGTAGGACGGTCAGGATTGGTCTATACGATCTGTTCTATGAATCATATGCAATAATATATCACAATAATAATCCATCGTTAGACTAATGATCCGAGCATGCAAAACTCCGAATGAAGTGTAACGAACGTAACTCCGTGAAGCATTGAGCCCGACTTTAATCCAACTTTAACGTAGAATCTAATTTGAATTCCAAAATATCGGCGTTGACTCTTGTTCAAATTTTAACTCGAATTTCATGTCCAATTCCACCTGAAAAGCTCACACGTATCCCCGTCTTCTCTCGGTCCGTTTTGTTTGAGTAAAGCTACGTCGGAGGCGACTGACGAAGCGTCGCTCTTTTCCCGGTGTCGTCGTATTAATCCGTAAGATCCCCAGCGAGCGGCGACCTCGAGGATGTTTGCCCGGTTCGAATTAACGAGCGTAGGCGGTTCGAATCGTTATTTACCGACTTCATGGTCAGTCATCGCGACGACAAGGCCGCAACCGCTCCCTGACGGGGGTGGTTTCCGGCGGGCTCGTTTAAAATTAAGCCATCCCCGAATGTCCCGGCAGCCAGTGACAGACATAGCGACGTCGTAGCGGACGTGGCTTAAGCCCGGCTTAAATTTAAGCGGCCACGGTGAAACCAGACATTAAACGAACGGCAACCTCGGCTATCCGAGGCCGGCTTCCCCACGGAGAAAAGTGTCCGTAGGTGCTCGCTGACTCTTCTTTATCGCGTTACACGTTTCTCCATAGCCGTTGGACCCGGTAACGACGATCCGGGAGCGATCCCGCCGTAGTGGCTCGGAGAATCCGCCAGGTTTTTCCCCCAAAATATCGCGGATACCCGAACTCGGCGGAGTTTTCACAACCGACGCGTTCTCCACTTTGTTGGAATTCCAATGGTTAATAAAAATGTGCGCGTCACTGAAACGAAACATTAAGGGGCTGACGCACACACCTGAGCAGTTCGAAAAACGCTTCACGCGATCGGCGTCGAGCGAAAACGGAAGGCCGGCTCGGCGTGTTTGAAAATAATCGCGCCGACGCGTCGATTATTTTCTTGAGACCTCGCAGTTTGAAAGCAACCGTGAGATGAGACACCGAGCATTAAATGAACCCCACCCGGGCTATCCGGGGGCGCGCGGGATCCTTGCGGGGGCGAATGTCGCGGGGTGATATAACGTCAGCAGTAACTCTTCGTTATTAAGTTACACATTTCATCACAACTTTCGAGAGCGTGGCGGGGAGAGCTTTAGTCACGCGACGGTAAATTTTGAAATAATCCCTAATAGCCCGATTTTCTTCAAGTTTTCTACTCCCCCGGGTGAACTTTAATAAGTTACCCGCCCCTCCCTCTCCATACACGATGCCGATGTATGTAAAACAATTTCCGGCCCGCTCGCTGTATTATGCATCGCGGCGTTGCGCGACCTCTATTAGCGTGCAATTTGGACAGGAGGGGAGGAGGTGTATCTCCGTTCCCGCGCGGGATAAGATTGCCGGTTGAATATTGGAGGAGGATAAAGAAGAAGAAGAAAAAAATACGTACGGAGGAAGACGTGAATTTTTCGTTTCGTTTACACGCAGCGGGACGCCGGCTACATAAAAACGCCGGGCCTTCGTGAAAAGTCGAGTCTCCTCATGAAACGTCGCCCGCCGTCACACGCCGGTGTTTTGCAAAAGCACTGTGAACTCTCGCCGAGGTGTCGCGACGTGCGTATTAATTAGTCCGCCGAAAAGGGGGTGATATTTTGTCGCTTAACTCGGGCGAGACGCGCGAGCGGTGTGCTTTGCTAAAAGCTACCGAGGGTATCTCTGCGTAAACAACGGCGCGAACAAGGGTCCGGGTCGCATTATCGAGTTTCCGGGGAATTTCTCGCGTTTCTCCCCCGAATTCAGTTAAGGCTCGCCTCTCGTAAATGACAGTATTTCAACTTACCGTTTCCCGATATCGGCGCCATCGTGGACGGATGGTGGTCTTGAAAAGAAATAAAGAGTTAAGGGCACTTGGGAATACTCTCGCGAATAAAAATGACACATCACTCACGAGTGCAGTTATAGGCGACCGGGCAGCAGGAATGGGGTGTGTACAGCGGGGTGCATCCCGGCAGCGGCAGCAGACACTTCGGCCGGATGCATCTCCTCGCGCCGGATATGCAATAGCAGTACTCGCATCGGCGCGAGCCCATCATCGCCGATCCCGAGCCGTATTGAACCCCCTCGTGCAGGCATCCTAAATACCAATCTCGAGTTTATTCCCGAGCGCGGCTTAAGAATGTGTCGCCCATTAATGCCGTACTTTCAATCGAGAGAGCCGCTCATAAATGTAGTATTTGTCAAGCAATTACATGTTCCTACACATTTATTTCTATCACTGCCTGAATAATAATTTAATTTAAAACGATATTGAGGTAGACATGCACGCGATATTACAAATATACAAACATTTTATTTTATTGTTTCCTTTTCTTACTTCATCTTTAATAGTATACTAGTTTTTCCGTCCAAATTTGGTTTATAGTTTAGAAGATATTAAAAATAAATTCGGAAATCGTTAATCTTCCAAGGAACATGTATCAAAAGTGTCAACTTTAGTTGCAAATATTTCGGAATGGCCAGTCTTTTTCTAATTGCACGAAAAGTTAGATCAGATTTCGATGTATATACAAGTTTCATCGAATTCTTATCAAACTCATATTAAGCCTGTTTTAAAGCAGAATAACTTTTGACTCGGGCCTCTGAATTACCGTCAAACTTTCGGTCTCACTTTTAAATGCAATACATTGCATCCACAGATCGATTTGTAATTTTTTCATAATTTTTTTATTATTTTAAGATATGGGTGATACATCCTTAAAACGGTCGATTCGAACGACAGACGATTCGAATCGATGCGCGAGAAGCACAGGTGTGCGGCGGCGGCGACTGGCCGCCAACGAACCGATGCGTTCCGCAAAAATAAATCAACAGCGGGGGTAACTTGTTTTTCGGACGGTGCTTCGCGTTTACGAGAGAATCGCTTTGAAAAATCGAAGCTTTAATAATTCCTTCGAGCTCTCCTATATCTCTACTTCGTGATACCGTCGACGATACATCGTTACCTGCAACTCGGTATAAAACTAAGATGAAAATTCATCAGAGATAAATGAAGAGACGGGACGAATGTTCGTTTTTTTTTTCCTATCGTTTTTTTTTCTATTTACGCCTGATATATTTGAGACTCTTATATTATTTCGTATCGAATATTATACACGTTTATTATTCACGATAATCGTCACGATAGTTTCGCGTTTCTGCGGTATTTCGGTCACTTTACTCGCTTACTGTATTTAGTACACTCTTTTCTGGAACAATATCTCCTACATCTTTTATTCGGGCACCGTTATATCAATGTATAACGACCGTTTGTTTTGAAAAGAATGGGGGGTTTATATACAACGGTTAATCTTTAATTGCAATCGAGCGCCGAATGGAGTTTTCGGAATTTACGTTAAATTGCTCTCGTTAAGATCGCTCCTATTCGTGAGATAGTACGTGAGCTTCGTCGAAGTTCGACGAAGTTCTCGGTACCCGGTAATTTATTTAACAATGCTTTCAAGAAAGGCGCGGGCTTTACGTATTTATGAAGTAACGTAAAAGATTGTTGCTTCACGGGGAAACAGCTGAAAAACGAATGCGTTGCTGTTTTCTTAACGTCCGTTCCGCATCTGATTTGGAATTTCGAACTGCACTTTTGCGCAAACAGATCTCTGCGATCGTAAGTATGGAGGATTAATTATCAAACTAAGTAATTATTTTATACGCGAGTAAAAGCAACGCTCACCGCCTGGTGTAAGTACCGAAATGAAATTCCCAGTTGGCACCAAGTAACGGTAACGTCATATCAATGTTATAATTTCTCATTCAACAATGTAATTGTTATACACAACATGCGTTATATCACCTTTGCATCGTCGAGTTGGAAATTATGACGTTGATATAATTGTTATCATTACTTGGTGTTTGCTGGGTATTAATTACTTTTATTAATTGAATAATAACTATTAAGAGATATTCTAATAACGAAGGGACGTCACAGTGCGAGAAGATGTCGGTTTAATTATAATGCGCGTAACGTGTAGAAAATTTCGTTTCATTATCGCGAATGAAAGCGGCAAAGCGATGTTGCGCCGCCGCCGCGCGCGCGGAAATAAACGAATGTACCGGCATAAACTTTGTGGTAGCAAAGAAATCCTGAATTAATTTAGAATTACGTTCGTTTCAACAGTAACGAGCCATCTTAACCCCTTCTATGTTATGCCCGAGTTTAGCTGAGTGTTCTCTACCCACCTCAATTTATTTACCCAAGTTTACTCGGGCGTAACGAGGCTCATTTATTTACCGCGGAGCTAACCCAGACGCTCTTTTCAGAGACGAAGTTAAAATGGAAATGATTAAAAATAATAGCACACTCTATTAATTCGGAGGAGGATGGACGAAGAGAAAGAGAGAGAGAGAGAGAGGAATTTCGGGAGTCGAAGGACACATCTCGCGTCATCATTGCTGAGAGAACGAATTGCATTTCTCGCACGATTGAGCGCGATTGATTCCGCGTCTGTCAATTATTAACCGACTCACGTCGAGTATTTCTGTCTCGCAAAAACGCGGCGGGCTTCCTTCGCGCAGAGGCGAAAAATAATTATTCGTGCACTCTAACGATATCTCGCTGCAGAGGATAAATAATGAAGTAGACAATCAACAAAGTAGCAGAGTACCTTCTGCACGTGAGTGGTGAACGTGCTTCTCATCCTCGGCTCCCGCATTCGTTTGTACACCGGCTCTCCGCAACATATTCTCGACGTCGCCTGTAAGTCAGATAATAAATTTAAGCCCCGGCCACGATTAACTCTTTAATCTGCTTTGCCGCGAAGCCGAAACTTTTATGCGCGCGTTTTAACGCGACGGACTTCACAAAAGAGCGTGAGGCGCGCGTACAAATAGACTTCATCGAAGGCCCGTGATAATAACAAGCCCCTGGGGGCGTTGAATAATTGAATAATTCAATTACTACTCACGAAATTTTCATACTCTCGAAAGGATTTTTTTTTTAATTTTAATTTATCGAGAAATGTTTAAATTTAATAAATAAATTTAATAAATTATGGCTCCGTCGATTCTCGCAATCACTAGCATATAACGGTGTAAACAAAAGCCACTGTGAGTTGTACAGTGCAATAATGAAACAAATCAATAGAATGGTTTTCCTGCAGTATCTGGTGTAGTTAAGGTAAAATTAGAACAATTCAAGAGGATTTACAACGTGATTAAGAGGAAAATATTTCTATATGTAATGTCAAAAAATTACGATATAAAATGAATGTCCTAATTGGTGACAAAGTAAGACCTCGTGAAAATAAATTGATAAGTTATTATAATAGTAACATATACGTGTTAAGTATACAAAATTAATTTTGTTCGAAAGTTTGTACATTTGATATTTTAATTGTTTTAGATCTTTTAAATTTATGAACAAATTCTTAAACAATTTACAATATGTCCTCAAAAGTAACAGAAATATCATTTAGTGACTTACCGACTACTTACTTATTTTAGAGTAAATATACCGTTATTGAAACTTGATAGTTTATAGGCGAGGAACTTAATTATAATTAGGACATTCGCATTATTATTTTTTTCATAATTCACGTAATTTCTTCGATTATACCGGCGGCACGCACTTTAATTCGGCCGTGTGTGTAGCAATTGTCGATCGTGGACGGTCGCATCTCGGCGAGATATTCGCGATTAATCAAAGGGGACATCGTCGTTACTAACGTGATTCGCCGCATACCAGCTCGGCGCAGCATACATTCTCGGCCGGTGCACGAATGTGACAGCCCGACGGCGGTGGATTCGGCAGTCGCGGGCACACCCGTAGCCGGCATCTCAATGCACCTTCGGTGCATCGGCATCGCAGGCAGGGCTCGGACGTACCCACAGCCGTTCCTTCCTGATATCGGCGACCCTCGTATCTGCATCCTGCAATCGCGAGTAAATTTCTCCTTACGTAACAAAACTTTAATTACAGTGTCGGCCGGGTTATCGAGGCTCGCACAGAAATATACGTTCGGTGTCTCGCCGTAACATCGTGTCGGAAATTTCGAAGCGCTCCGGAACGCAGCCAGAAATGAAAAGTCGAATCAACATCGATTCGACGTGGATGCTCGAATACCAGTCGATATTTTTCTTATTTTCGATCTTATAACAAATCTTTTTGTTTTTACATCAATCGAACAATTCGAATAATTGAACAGAATTTCGATGAATTTCCAAGTCACAAAGAAGCTGAAAAACATTTTATCGCAGTTAGAGAAAGGATAGATGGTGACTAATAACAGGATCAAGATCACGAAAGGACTCATTATGAGATGAGAGGATACAAATGATAAAGTTTTTTTTATTTCAACAAAATGATCTAATAGTTTGTCTTGTCTCGTTTATAATTCAACGCAATTTTGTTGCAAACATTATTTTGCAATGAACAGTAACTGATATTGATGACTGATCGAAATTTAAGTCCATATTCAGGTTGAACCGACTACAAATTTCGATCGTTGACGGACTACTACAATCGACGTCGATTCGACTTTTCACTTCCGGCTGGGAGCGGAGTATTATATCGCGCGTCCTGCGTTTCCTTGCTCGCGAATAAAAATAATAAATATTCCGCGATGACGTGTATGCGTTAACTTTATTTCGGGTGAGAATGCGCACGACATATATCAGATTTTTCCTTCAATCTCGCGGCGCGTCCTGTGCGTGCTATCGCCGCTTTGTAGACGCGGGAGAGTTTAATTAAGAATTAATAAACGCGCGAGGTCTCGACGCGCAGATTCGGATATTCGTGCATGCCGAGGCGGATCGGGACGCGTTTTCGCGTTCTCCGTTGTTCCGCAATGCACGTAAAAATTCACGACTCGGCCAACGACGCCGGAGGGCGAGCTCGTCGAACTTTTTGCTCGATTTTCCCCGTGGCGGTCGGATCCCATCCTGTAATGCATTACGTTAAACCGGAGAGAGAGAGAGAGAGAGAAGATGGGAGTAGGAGTGCAACGACGATCCGAAGGCTACATGTGCCCTCTATTAACATAGACAAAGCAATGTGCCGCGGGAGTACGGCGAAGTCCCCGATTAATAAGATCCAATTAGCAGTTAATTAACGCCCGCGAAAGTTTCGGGCGACGCGGACGCAGTCGTCGAAAGTTACATCGGCGAACAGCTAAAACAATTACCGGAAGACCATAATCCCATAGTCGAAGACACGCCGAGCAGGCGCGCGTTTAACTTTTCAATGGAAAACAATGTCCCTGGGGGGGGGGGGGGGGGGCGGATGCGNGGGGGGGGGGGGGGAGGGGGCGGATGCGCGAGGAAAAAGGATTTCTAGTAGGAACGATTTTAGCGGGGCGAGCGAGCGAACGAGCTCGTGTAAGCGCACTCGAACTTTCGAGTCGATTGACTTTTGAGCGAAGTTTATTATCGGCACTTCTCGATTTGTCCGAGAAATTGAAACTCGCAAGATTCCACGTCGGAGTTTCCCGTCCCGAGATAGAAGGAGAGAAAACGAAAGGAGGGGGAAACTCGAGACATTGATTAGTACGAAAATTACGTCGGGGAGTAAAAATAAAGACCTTTTTCTCACGGGCTCCGCCGATCCTTTTCTCTTTCGTTCCGCGCCGGCCGGTGCTCGCGTCGACGAGTCGATGAGGTCGCGAGGTGACGCGAGCAACGGCTTTTAAAACGTTAAATAAAAGAAGAGCGCTTTAACCGTGACAATCCGGTCTGGTTTAAACGTGGCGTGTGCCGCAAAAAGGAAGGAAAAATGGAGAAACGTGCTGGGCGGGGAAGAGCTCCACTTCAATTTCGCGCACGCCCGCCGTGCAGCCGCGCCATCACCGAAAAAAATCGCTACAGCGCGGACTTAAGGGCCGGAAATATTTGCACGCTCGCGGCCACGGGAGGATCGTCCGTCGAAAAGAGGGAATTTTCAATATAAATTCCACGTACTTCCCCGTAACGATAGCGACCCCCCGAGAGATGGGAAAAGGGCCCGGGACATCGGTTAAGATTGACACTGGCATGTGCAGGATGCGTCGTCTACGAGGCGAGGTTGGAACGAAGCTCCGAAACATAGTGACGAGGGGGGAGGGGGATGTTTTACGCGATAGATTAACTGGAGACGCGACATTAACTGCAGCAGTTATGATAGCGATTTGCCGGAAATTTAGGGGGACGCCGTGCAGCAAGAGGCAGAGTGAGAAAGGGAGAGAGAGAGACACATACCTAAAGTGCTATCATCACCGAGGATGTTTGTTCTCGAGAGCTCGCAATTACTATCGCGACGATCTTGCGCACGTACGTGCGCATCCTTCGCGTCTGAATAGCGGCGAAGTGCATCGTCTATCTCCAAAAAAGAGATTAGATAAAGCCGCAAGCTTCACGAACGCGATGACGATCACGAGGTCGCTTCAAGAAACGCCAGTTAAATAGCAAAACATTTCGCCGTCGATCACGCCGTCATATCTCTCAACTTTCTTCTCACCTTCCGTCCGTGAGGAAATTTCGAAAATAACAACGGATATCTCATTCTCTCGCTCTCACCCAGCATTCGTTACTCCACGTGTTTCTAGTAAAAACAGACAACGGTTACGTTTGCGCGTCGAACAGCACGTTGCGTCACGTAATCGTCGCGTTTCGCGGAAACGTCAAATTATCGTAATAGCATTCGAAAGCTCGATTTCCTCAAAAGACCAATTATTCCCGACACGCGAGCCGCTGATTGCCGCCTTTTACTCGCCGACGGACGCGCGCGCCGAAAAAATGACGTGACGAGATAACGTGAAAACGAAAGAACGAAACGTTACTTCGTTTGTTACAAAGGTCATATTAATTACTCAGATAAAAGTACACAACTGCTGCAAAGTGGCACTTTTACCTTGAAAAATCACGCGTTGATATTTATATTTATATATTTCGCGTGATTCCCTTCGGTGGGGGGGACTCGTGAAAATCTCCAATAACGATTTTCGGACGACCTCGAGAAGTCAGCCGCCGCCTTCGAAGTATCTTAATCCGCGTGCGCCATTATTCCGCCGTTAGTCCGATGCATACGTATACGTCGAACACGAGGACGTGTCTAATAACCAGCTCTCCCTTCTCTCGCCCCTCTTTATCCATCCTCTTGCTAACCTCTCGCTGCATTCTCGAGAAGCATAACGCGACGCGGCGAGCGACGTCGAGGCCGTCATTAGTCCCGGGGAACGTAAGTACGGCACTGCCAAGGGGCCGCAGTAGTAAAGGACACTCCGGTGTTGGCCGGAGAAGCTCGCGTCGAGCGAGAAACAAGCCAAGTTAGTTAATGGCGCAAAACCGGAAGTCCTCGCCGACGACGACGCGCCTCCTCCTCGTCCTCCTCCTCTTCTCTCTCTCTCTCTCTCTCTCGTCGAGAGGATTTTAATCCCGCTACATTGGACAAGGAGATCCCACGGCGCGAAGATTTTGTTACGAACACTTCCGGGCGGACGTGAGCGTTTTGCTACGATCCCTCGGACCGATGTAAGCCGCCCTTGCGAGCGGATGTGCACGAGTTTCTGCACATTTAATTAGAGCGCGCGCGCAGCATGTATATACAGAATAGATGTATATATACGTGTATATTGTGACGTCCGTTGAAATGCGAGTTGACGTACGCGCGCATTAGCGTCGTTAGCCGTTGTTATCCTATTTCCTGCTAATGGAAAACTACCACATTCGCGCCGAAGACGCGGCGTATAGCTTGTTTATGCGCTTAAAATTAGAGGCGCGCGTAAAAAAACGCGCCCTGCCTCTCCGCTGCCGTAGTCCATTGAATCATTCGCGGTATTCATGTCGTTTACGATTTAATAATGAAAATTCCGCCGACTTCCGCTTCTCCTTCATTCCCCGGATTCACCGATCCGTCTCCTCGTATTTTTCTACTTACAAACGAATAAAAGTACGTACACCGCGATTTTCAATTTCTCGCACCTTTCATGGTTTAAAACGTCTCAAAGAGGAGAGAGAATTCATTCTCGTAGGAGAAAGGGGAATGACGACCTTAAGGTTTGTCGATTTTTTCTCATTTTCACAGTGACGTAATAACGATCGATTTTTTGCCTAGTAGCTAAAGCCTTATCTATCATCTGCACGAACTGAAAATTTTATAAATAAATCGGAATTTCTTTTAATTTAATTTAAATTCTTTGAAAATGTGTTAATTCCCATACACACATGTATAAGATGGTGAAGGTTAAATACAAATTCTTTTTACGCATACCAAAAATATATCATTCTCGCGAACATTTCATATTATTTTTTGTTACTATCATATCCATACAACACAATAAAATCCTGTTACTAGCTTGGAAAAATTAACAACTCGCCATCTTACCTCTCTCCCCCTCTCCCCTGTATCTGAGAATATAAGTTTCGAAATAAAATGTCAATTTTATCAGCCGTGCCCAGACATATTTCTGTGAGCATGGCCCGAAAAAACGCTTTACGTTTTTAGCCTTCTTTATTGACGCACTTTGGAAAGAGGGATGTGAGGGGAACGACACTCGTCCGTCTATTATCGAGAGGAAGAGAAAGAACCTCCTGTGAGAATTACTGCGCGACTATCGTGGCATCTCGCCGCGTTCACTGCCAAGTGCAACGGTGCACGTGCGATGGATACGCCGACCGTACGTACATACACACGGCGGTATGAATGGAGCGAACTCTGGCCTTACCTCTCCTTGTCCGTCCCCCCGGCATCCACCATGCCCCTCCGGCTCTCTCCGCGCCCGATAGGATAACATAACCCGTAACGTAACCATTACACGCGCGCACTCCACGATGCGGTGCGAACGGCCGCGAGACGTGGGCGAGAACCGGCGATCAGTCGCGGAGGCTGCTGGCTGAGGTAGTGCTGGATGGACATGCTTTGTTTCAGCCAGAAGGTCAACGTCTAGCTCAAGCCGGTC